CCTTGTATATTGAAATACATATTCTCAGGTTCTCTCTCTCTCTCCCTCTCCCCCCCTCTCTCTCTCAGATAAAATTATAATTAAACAAATCCAACACCTGGAGAATATTTATATAAAAACATGTCAAATCTTCTCCAAAACTATGTTCATCGGATTCGAAGCTCATGTAACAGATGTAATACCAGTAGAAATTCCCATTTTTATATAGGATGATTCATAATTAACATACCAGCTAAAATTAGTTCTATCATAGAATTCAATTAGACAGAATTTCGGATGTTATATCAGTCTAAAACAATCTTATAAAAAAAATGTAGTAAAGAGTAACAAAACAGAGGGTTTCAGTACTGCAGCTTGAATTTTGCGAACCCTGCACACCATCTTCATCACTAACAATTCATAAGGACGTTCCCATTAACCCGCGCAAAAAGAACGTTATAAAACGGCCCGCGTACTATCAGGCTTCGACAATTTGGCTATCTCTAGACTAGAAAGAACGTGTATCGCTGAGAAACACGTTAATAAGCTACGAGAATTTCTGTCAATGGCGTGAGGGTGGATGAACTTAATAGACAGAAACAGTAAAAAAAGAGAGAGAGAGAGAGAGAAAGTGAAGGTGCATTCGCAAAAAAAAAAGCAAAGAGAAGCTTTCCATGTCTACATTCATCGAATTGATCGGTGCACACCTTATACATTCTTTTTTCTTTTTTTGCTTCATCCCTACTTCGATCCACCTCATATCCTCTCCATATCCTTTGGTCCACTTTACTCTCATTGTTACCATCCGACAAATGAACATTAATATCACTTCAGCATCCTCTAATATTAAGGAAGCTTTTCAATACGGTATTCGCTTTTTGCACCACTTAAAGAAGTTTCGTCCCTTTTACACCATGAAGAGCTCCACGATTTGATTGCAGGGAGCTTGTAGGGGTGGTAGAGGTACACGTTTATCCATATCTGGTCTGGGAATCAGTGCGTCGATACGGGGTTCCGGTGGCGCCAATTGTAGACATTCTGGTGGAGAGAGCTACATTAAATAAAAAAAAATATATATATGAATAAGATCTATAAGATTTATCCTCGATGTGTATCGATTATCATTAACGTCCTGTGGACTTACAAGAGCTTGCTGAGGCATAGGAGCCATACCACCTACATTCGCAGGATTGTAGTAATTCGTGGGACTAACAGGCGGCGACGGATATGGCCAGTAGATGATTTGAGGATAAGCAGGTGCAAATTGTGGAGGTCCTCGAGGTAGCATCGCTTGTGGCGGTGGGAACATAGCACCAGGTGCAAAAGGTGGTGGCATCATGGTGCCTCCTAGTGGAAAAGAAGAACTTGTCAAAATCGAACGTCGTACTGCAAAAAACAACGAATTAACACTTATCCAAGATTATTTTAGAAGTAAAGATGCAAAAAATTGACTATTCAAAGAAAGGTCAAAAAATATAATATCTCGACGGACAATGGATAATCCGGTAACATGGATAAGGATCTTAACGATGGATATTAATTAAATGAAACGAACAAGCCACTTTCATTTTCCCTCCCAGTAATAAGAATAGGGAAAAACAAGATATCTCAATCATGTTCTGACGAGGCTTTTAGCGTTAAAGGTGGCAATTACAAGACGCGAATGTCGTGAAAAAGCTAGTCTGTATACATACGTATCACCATTAGCCAATCAACCAATGGACCCCAATGATATCTATTTACAACAAACCGTCTACACACTATTATGCCATCGCGGTAGGAGAGGAATATTGCTTCGAGAATAAAAAATTTTATTAAATTAAAATTATCCAGTAAAAAAGAAAAGGAAATATATATTTCACAAAATGACGCTACACGATATTTTAAGAAATTTCGTTGCAACATACCCCGCCACCAAATTGAGTGCACCCGATGCTCGAGGCAATATCTTAAAGCAGGATAAAAAAGGATCCAACAAACATTAAATTTCCACATTGCCTCGAACAACGAAAAAGAAACAATGTAAGAAAAAAAGGAGGAAAGATCCCTGACACCCGATAACCACATCAGGAATAATGATTGGACTTGGCCTACCTGAAGCACAGAAGTTAGTATGTACGTGGTCCCGCTACCATACTGTGATTGACACTGCACCACCATTTGTAACATAATACATTATGTATACGCCGTACCACTGCGTTTATATATTTTTTTTTAATATACACAATGTGTATTCCGCTCCCTCTGCCATAAAATCCACCAAAATTAAAAAAAAAAAATATAAATTTCCACACTTTCTAAATCCACAATAAGCCGATTTATACATGTATAAATTTTAAGAGATAGAAAATATATAATAGAGAGTTCAGGCGTATTTTAACTTTCAAATATATTATCACAATTTGTCCTGTGTAGTTTAGAGGGGGTCGCGAGGTCGTCACACCTTGTAAACCCAGGGAATTATATAATATCCGGAACAGCATGTTTTCCCTGTGAAAAGCCACCCTTGCCACCATATAAAGTCGTACCACTGTGCCGATGAGACTATAACGAGGTTTCGTCAACGTATCGTCCGCGCAATCGTCCATTATTTCTTTTCTTTTTTTTCTCGTCATATATATATGTGTATATACATATATGACGTAGTATTGTACTCTGTTAACTTCAATGCATTAATATTGCTGTCCCCTCTGTCTCTCGTCTCCACCACGCTCGAAGCTGCCGAGATCTCATGGTGCAGTGATACGATGACGAGACTGAGGACGTGCTGTGCTGACCCACGTAGAGGGAGAATGAGCATTAGTGTCTCCTTCCACCAGGCAGCAAAAGGCCCCAGATATACACCGTAAGAAAATAAGACACCACAAGGCCATCGACACTAACTGGCAGTGATACAATGATAATAATAATATTATAATAATAATAATAATAATAGTAATAGTAAAAATAATAATAATAATCGTAATAATAGTATAATCGAAGCCCAAGAGCGTACCAATTAACACGAACGAGAGCAAAAGTAGGGATTTCTATGTTACAGATCATCATCTTTGTTTTTTCTGCTTATCCTTTGAAATCTTTAAAAACTTTTATTTTAATCGAGCTAAAGTATCGATAAAAATATCAGGTTTTCAATGTACATATTGAAGTTGTGCCCATATATTTAATATTGAAATTTATTTCAGCATTTTTGAAATTAAAAACTTCGTTTATTCGATAAAACGTTTCTTTTTTTTCAAGTCTTATCACAGTAACAGAAAGATACGATTATACGATTATCGCCGAACTCTGGGAATTCGATCAAAAATGCATCTATTTTATTTTCGGAGTTTTTCTTTTTTTTTCTACAATAGACCCATACCATTGTGAACACTTCTTTTCTGCGCACTATCAACACAATAAATGTGTTTTTATAGTGTTAACTTTTTTTCTATCTTTCATCCTCGTTTTCACGAGGCAATCTGCCGTCAGAACGATTATTAATTATCGAAATATTTATATAACCTGGGGCAGGCATCTCTGGATATACGAATATTCGTTACGCGACGGGAAAGAAAAATTTGTAAAAGCCACTTAGGCCACTTTGTCGATCTGCTTCTAACTTGTAACTCAATCATGCCTTTTTTAAAGAATATTCGCGCATATCGCAAAACTCTACTGTTCTGGGGCGAGACTCATGACTGCGATTATTTCAATAAAAAGAGGGAAAGACAAAGACAGAGAAAGAAAAAGAGAGAGAGAGAGAGAGAGACCCAATGAATAAAGATTCAAATACTTGGATAGAATGGTTTCATGTACTTTAAACCAATTCCTCAAAGTGGTTCTTATTAGGACAAGAGTCCCACAGACCAAGTGGTACGTCGATCACCATAGAATATAATCCCATACGTCATAGAGCGGGCCACGCAAATCCACCATATCCCACCCAGACCACTGATTATTATACAAATATTAATTTTATTAATTTCTCTATCAAATATCACGACAGACTATGGCGAATTGCCGGATACCGTTCGAAGCAGGCAACATAAAGTAGATATGAACACCCGTTCGGCAGGACTCATTGCAAAAGCGTGACACGCCACTTGCGAGAAGCCAATCTCTCTAAGTAAATTAGAGATTCGAATTAATAAGAGAAAGAGAGAGAGAGAGAGAGAGAGAGAGAGAGAGAGAGAGAGAGAGAGAGAGAGTGGCGAGGGGGGAGCGCATACAGCTAAAAAGGAAGAACATATTTCAGTGACAATAATGAAGATGGAAGGTAGATATATTATAAGAAAGAGCAAGAGAGAAATACAGAGAGAAACAGATTGGAAGGGAGTGTAATAAAAAGTGACATATTAAATAGTACATATTAGGGAGGAGAAAAGATATGGAGAAAGATAAAGAGAGTTAAGATACATGAGAGCAAGTAATAGACAAAATATATGAATATATATATATATATATATATATATATATATATGAAGAATAGAAGAACCAAGAGTTACAACACATAATCTTTTAATTCGATCGGTAAACACCAAAGATACCTGCGAGCCCAGTGAAATATTGTAAAGAACGTAACAGGAGCGATGACCGTACTTTTTGTGCTGACATTTATATAATTGTCCGTTAACATTCTATAGAATAGCTACTCCCAATATCCCACCCATCACAGAAAGACAATCGATCGACGACCATTGCCAAACCAAAATTAAAAAATATACAATACAGCGAGATAACAGATGAGAGCAACAATAAAAAAAACACCCGCCCCAGTTTTTACATAGAAACAAAGAATGAAGAAAAAGAGGTACGCGCTTTCATGCAACCAAACGTCGAATTCCCCGAGTACAATAAATTAAACAGGGCTGGCAAATTAAATGTATTTTTTGCCTGCATTTTGCAAATTTTCATGCACATACCTAAACACCTATGTGATATATCGTTGATCGGCAAGGATCAAGGATAACCGCAAAAAAAGTACGACCACCGTGCGAGGTATCAGGATAAAAGTCCACCAAACCCGGCAAGCGCAAAGATATCCACGAGACACGAGTACATTTATTAAACATGATTATTGAATATTAATATAATAATCGATATACAGAGAGTATACAGCGGTAAAAAAAAAAACAATGTGTGCGTGTATCGTGTTTGAGTTTCATTTTGTGTCACTACGATGGAAGGTGTATTCGTTGTGCGTCCGTGCCGTGTGTTTCAGTCGAACATACGTAAATAACGAATAAATGAATTTCTCAGTAACGTTTGCATATAACGATCGACTTTCTTTCATAACAACGCATACTGCAGTAAAGCGAAAACAACGCCTTGGTGTGTAATGAACTTTCAACAAATTTTTCAAAATCAATCAGACACTAGGCAAATATTTTTACAAAGAAATATTACCGACAATTGATTTTTATATCAAACAAAGTTTAGGTTCGATATCAATCGATAAAAATCGAAAGGTATCCCCCTCCAATTGTTAACGTAGGGGAGACCTTGAAAAAAAAATGATGCACATAAATTTCATCGAAGCTGCCAATCTCTTTTGGAAGACGCTGTATATATATATATATACATATTCAATTAATTAGAGCAATATTACGAAGTAAGCGACATATTACCAAGAGGAATAATCGTCGAAGTTAACGAACGATATTTTTACAAATGAATTTAACGTTCAAACAAGTTTCAACAAACACATGAAAATATCTCGAAAAGGATAGCAACGATTAGCCATAATAAATTGCATGCGTCGTTAAGGTCAGTGTGCAATGTTCCATTAGTATATATACGTATGATGTATGTTGGTATCATGAAATGATATATTCTTTATAATAATAAATTATGCGAGTCCCTCCATAGACCACTCCATGCAACCAGTCATTCTACCATGGTATCTCCACGCAGCAGTGCAACAATCAAACGGCCTATTACAATTAACCATCTAATTATATGCATAAATTGGCATTTCCAAATATTGACCTAAAATTAGCCATATGGAAACACCATACGCCAGGTACACGTGTAACCATTAGATAAGTGTGTATTAACCTATCAAGAAAGCATTGGCAAGATATGATTCTTTTGGTAGTGCACTGCCATACTGTACAAAGAAAATTAAAAAAAAAAACTAAAGAAATAAAAAAAAAGAAGAACACTGCTGCGAGGACAGACCGAGGATGAGATTACGGGAAAATTGCCATTAGTGAACCACGCTATAGATTTTTCCATTTTCTTTTCTTTGTTACAAACGAACAACACGTATGAAATGAAATCAAATACACAAATAACTATACGGTACGCGTACGATGCACACGCTTTTTGTATGCAAATTATGTTTAGCGTGTGATCACTGAAAGACGTCTATAAGCGTACACGAGAGTCTTTTCATTCTTTTTTTTTTTTAACAAATCAAAGAACATGACCCTTGGTCAAATCTTTCCATAAGCTCAGCCTCAAGCTTACTATTTCCTTGGATACCCAGGTTCCAGAAGACTCGTGGTAAGCGTTGCGTAGAATGTGAGGTTGTAACGACAAAGAGATACACTAATTTAACGACATGAGGGACACGAATAGTACTATTCGTAAGTGTCTATTTCTTCCACTAATTGTATGATTATTAATCGTATCAATGTATATGTTTCTTTGTTTATTTGCTTAATTAGACCATGGAAGATAACTAGAAGAAAGGGTAAACTGCCGACACCAGGTTAAGTCTCGCGGAAGCGAAGCATTCGCTGCTGACAAGGCATGAAAAAATTGATTATCAAATTGTCAACAAAAGAAAAACCACCGTTTCCACAATCAATTTTGATAATTGATTTTCGTTAGTACTTATATGTTCTTTTTTTTCACTTTCTTCTCATAGCGAACACTCGACTCTCTATCAACCCTTGGATTAATATACGTTTTTTATTGGAAATTCGAGACGCGAAGGACTGACATGATAACGTGAGATCTTTCGTTACAATACATTTCTTTTTTTTTTATTATCACATTCCTTCGCGTCACGAGTTCAGTATCTCCGTTTTATATGTATGCATATACTAGTTGCTATTCGTGTACGTGTGTAAGTAGAGTGAGTGGTCCCATTTACTTTTGGAGGAATGTGATTCCAGGAATGTGATTCGAGGAATGCTCATATAGGACTGAATGGGAACGTTTTCACGCAGTCGCGTTCTATCATATCGAAGCCGATTAATATTTAACAAGAAAAAAAAATGATATAAAGTATGTATACGCAAAATGCATAGACATATCAGAATTCAAGTGTATTCAGACGAATTGTAAAAAGATATATGCCGCGTGGAAAAAAAATGTCCTAACACTGCCTCGAAATGAGGTACGCTGATTGTATATATATGTGTATATATATATATTTAGGTATATATAAATGGATGGATTCCCATTGCTTAAGTCTAATAACAAATATACCTATCAAAATATATATATATATAAACGATTGGTGGTCATCTGTCAAAGAGAAAAATATATATATGTACATGATTGTAGAAATTGGATGAACAAGCTTTAATAACGCTCTGTTCGAATCTACCTAATTTCTTGTATAACATTTTTTTGTTTTGCTTTAAGGCACTAAGCGAACGTTAAGTCTCAAAATCGTAATTTTTGCTAAATCGGAGATTTTCGTCGTGATTGCTATTAAATTTATAATTTTTTTTCCATTTCGCACGTGAAAACAAAAGTCTGATAACGTTCAAATTGCAGTGTAATACATCCCGAGCTAATGCGCTAAATTCATCATTGCACATCCATCCTGAATGAACGTACAGCATTGCTAATTTATATTAGAAGGTATGTAATATAAAGTCCTACTCTCTAGGAATTAGTATAGGGATGTGCTAAATGCGATTGGAATCTGGTGCGTTCGCTTGGCCACTGATCGCTTCCTAAGTACTTTCTAACGCCAGATAATATAGGGAGCCACAAATTGGGTATGAGGCTCATATAATAGTGAAGGCACACGCACGCGGCGTTGGCAAATGTATGTAAAAGTCATCAAAAGAGAGTGGCAAGCCTACAGCGGTACGCTCCTCAAGTATCGAAGTCTTCGTGTCGCATGGAATGTTGCTCATGTTTTAAAATATACTTGTATACTATAGTATAATAGGTATCTCCTAATTAGGGCGAGTTATTGTCGATCGTTCGACCCTAGACAAAAATATCATTAATTGAGAGGCACTCTTGAGAGTACGTAGTACATGTGGTCGTATCGAGTTCAATATAGTCTTTAGAATAAGTAGGGCCCTATAGCTGCTACTCCGATTGTTATTGCTCCGATTGCTACTATTCTTGTGTTGCTATATAATCTAGCATTATCACGAAAGAACCATACGTAGCAGAAAAAGAAAAAAAAAAAGAAAACGTGGAGAATCGAAGACAAATTGTTGCGCGCTATTAGTCGCTGAGCTGCCCTAAACTCGACTTACATCGGTGGGTAAAATTGAGCGGGATAGGCTAAACCGGGAGCAGCAGCCTGTGCTGAAGCGTGGAATCCCGCGGGAGGTTGCCAAGTAGCGCGTTTCGGTGCACTACCTGGAGCTTCCGTGGGGAAGGCATTCTCCCAGGACCTCTTAAGGCCCATTAGGGCTGCTGGATTGAATGGTCCGGTCTGTACTAGAGGTGGTAGTAAGCCGTGGGGCGGCGGAGCCCTTAGGATGGGTATACGAGGAGGTACGTTAAGGAAAAGAAAAGGATGATGCGACTGAGCATGAAGAGCGGCGGCAGTAGGTGGTGCCATGGTATAGTGCGACAACTGATTATGATGATTTGGCGGTGGTGGCAAGGCTAAGGCCTTCGTGGTTGTGGTGGAATTTGGGGAACCTGGTGAAGAAGTTGGAGGTGGATTTGATGCTAGGGCCATCAACCAAAAGTCCTGGTGTCTGATGGCCTGTGCCTGGGCTTGGGCCTGGGCCTGCGCCTGGGCCTGAGCCTGAGCCTGAGCTTGAGCTTGGACCAGAGCGTGTATGTCCCAGAGCGGTGTCTGTGGTGTCGGCACCGCTACTGGTGCCGCGGGAGGTGGATGAGTTAGACTGGCTGGTGTTTGTGTCGTTAACGTACCAGGTGACAGAAGAGCCTTAGGCGGTGGCGGTGGGGGTACCACCCCGCCTGTTAAGACCAGGTTCATATCTTCGCCACTGCACTGAAAGACCTCGATGTACCGTTGCTTCTTGCCGAAGATCATATACCGATGATGACGCTGAGAGGCGCATGCATACGCGGAACTCTCGCTGTCCATCTGGATGAAAGCTTCGCCGGAGGGTTGACCCTAGAAATGAAATGAAATCTCAGCATATTCCTAGAATATGTACATTGTACAAACAGGCGTCAATGTTAAAAATGAGTTTTACGTACCTGCGCATTGTAGACCATGTGAACCCCCTGAAACACAATGTTCTTAGCGTGCTCTCCCAGAAACTCGAGAATATGTTCAACTTGAGCCTCATAAGGAAGACCACGTAAACGAACGCAATCCTTGCGGGTGCCTGAAGTTATTATATGTTGTGGCAAAAGAGGAAGTGGCTGTATTGTTATAGGTGGTGGCGGTGGAGCCTCGTAAGGTTTTGGATCCAGCGCCCTATTTAAGACCTGCGAACACAGAGATGTCCTTAGTTATCCTGTGTTGAAAGTAAAAAAGAAACTGTTGACAATGTTGATACGTCATACCTGTTGTACTTCAGCGGTCGTACTCCGGAATAATTCAATATATCTGCTGCCTATGAGATCACGGTGTTTGCTTAATGCCTTTGAGGCGTCCTCTTCCTTTGCAAATAGAACAAACGCATCTCCGGTCGCCCTGCCGTCTGGTTTCTTTACAAACAGTACTCCTTCTTCACCGTCCAATACCTGACACGAATTTTCTCCTGCTAGGAAGAATTCAAGCTGAAAGCATCAAATTCTCTTGTTATAAGACTGTCAGATGACAAAAATGCGAATTTATTAAAATCATTATCATTTTACTTACCACTTGCTTGGCGACACAGTCATAGGGTAGACCCCTCATCCTGACAATGACCTGTGCTCCTCGCGAAAGAAATGCATGAGCTTCTCCACTTGTTCCACCAGCTACTTGTACAAAGTCCTCACCGGTAGCTTTGAAGAGGTCTAAGTACCTTGAGCCGATATGATGCTTGTGCCTTTTGAGCGCCATGTCTCTGTGTTCCTTGCTAACAAAACGCACCAAAGCTTCACCGTTACGCCTGCCCATTGGGCTTAAACAAAGTGCGACGCCACCTCTGTAAAATTGAGAAAAAATATCTTATTAGCATAAAAGTGATATAATAGACGCCTAGATTATTACGTGCGACTTTTTACAAGTTTTATCGTCTAATTGCTATTTACATCGTCACAACAAAAAGAATCATTCATGACCCTTGATAACCGTTATCGAAAATAGAGCACGGACCAAAGAGTATTCCTCCAAAAGAATTTTTACACTACTGTTTCCAGGCGGTATATAAACGCAAACAATATATCGCAAGTTATGTCGGTATAACGGATATTGTCTCATTAAACAACACAATTTTACAACGCACATAAAAGCAGTGATCACCCATCAGAGCGATCGATGCTCTGCAACTCATCTTTGCTGTATCCATAAATGTTGAAGATCCAGGTAGCTTGCGCACAAATGTCAATAAATATTAAAACTAAGGATTAAACTTTCAGTGCATAGTCAAGTTTTTGATAAATTTTACATTGCATAAGTTACGCATACTTACTTGGCCACATTCAATCCTCGAAAGAACTTAGCTATGTCCTGATCAGAGGATTGCCAAGGAAGTCCTCGAGCTCTCACTACACAATCATTGTCCACTTCTTCGTCTTTTGAGCTGAAAACCATGAAAGGTTAAAGTAAGAGCACTCAGTTCTATCGATCAAACAATATGGAATACAAATATGTAATGACTGTAAGCACAACAGTAGCAATTGTCACTGATGCAAAATGATTAATTTAAGAAATAATTAGATGTCAGATAAGATTGCTATAGACATTGTGATAAGAGCACTTACAAGACAAAAATCATAAAACTCAATTGCACAGTTATAACATTTTTATCTGACTTAGCTAAATGCTGTCTATTATAGATAACAAACATAAGCCACTCAACCAAATCTGTTTTACTGACCATAGAAACAACTGGTCAGCGGATTAATATCTAGAAATTAAAAACAGATACAAAACTCACCATATGCCAGGTTCCAGTACAAGATTAACAATTTCCGGATTCTGAAATACGTGTCCTAGAACAAAGACAAAAGAACAAAATGATAAGATATTGAAATACAACAAGAATACTTAATTCTCTAATGCATTGACAAGTAAAATAACCTGAATAAACTGTCAGAAACCACTAAAATGAGTCTCACATAAAAGAGAGCCATGGGTAAGATTAAACTATACGTCAAGCACTATAGGAAAAAACACAATGAACAATCATTAAGAAAAAGTCAAAGCGTGGAAGTAATAAAATCTTTCAAAAAGTCGAAACAAGTTTGACAATAGTAGACGAGTGTTGTGAGAGCGTCGTTCACAGGTTGCGCCAGAGTATTTTAAGCCTCACTCACGACTCCCGCCACTAGTTCATCCATTTATTTATACTATATACAGTATTAGCTGCAGATCGGTGCTCCTCTACAATGCTGACTCGACTACCTAGTCCTATTCTTCCGTGAATAAATTTGCTCGTGGAAATACACGGATGTCGAGCGTCCCCTGTGCTAACGTTGCCACGTAACAGTATTCCCTCATCCTGTCTCCCGTTTCTCAAACAATTTCTATTAGCAGTGCAGCTCACAGTGGTTAATCGCAAAGCTCGACATCCACCGTAAGCGAAATAGCTCGGCAATTTAAGCTGACATTACAGAATGAATTTCTTCGTGGAACTACAAAATGTTGCAAGGTTTCGTTAACCCCGAACGTCTACACAAAATAAAGAAAAATTGACAGCTCGACAAAAGAAATCCAGCTATGCACGAATGCACGTACTATGTCGTAATCGGACCATAGAATATCACTGATTTACATTAGACGTAAAAGAGTAATATAAATCAATGTCTCCTTGCTAGAAGTATTGAATTTCGTCGCCGAAGAGAAGCGAGCGCTATAGTATACACGAGAGGCTTTCTATCTATGAAAAGAACCGCCACACGGGTCTCTCCGTGGTATTACATTGCTTTTTTCCGCGACAGAAGGCCATATCAAACGACAGAAAATATTCGTTATGACCCATATCGAAACACAGAGAACCGATCATTGCACCTTGGTTATGGTTTCCGATCGGTTAAATTTTTATTTTTTATTTTTGGTGATCGTATCGCTCGCCCATTTGCTAACTCATTCCATACGCAGGGCTACTTTCTACCCCTCGGCGTTTTCTTGCGGGCGACGTAATTTCGTCTTTTTCCTTATATGCCTTATAACATTTATAAGACTACAAAAACATTATCAACAAAAAGACATAACGTTTAAGATCCACTACAGGATAAAACAAAGTCTTGTTTTAACAATTTATTTTGTTAGTTGCATAGTTTAAGTCAAAGACAGGAGAAAAAGAGTTTGATTAAATTTAAATAAAACTTCTTATTTCTAATATTGTTGGTATTATTGAATATTAATGTATGAAGTTCCAAATAGAATAATATTTAAAAAACTGATCGCAACGTTGTGTTTGGCATTGGTGACCCGAGAGTGATAACTGCACTGTATATACATCATATTTAGACATCAATGCATGCAGTCTTATAAAATATTTTATGAAAATGTTATATTTACGAGCGAAAATATCAAATGGCTTGAACAAAAAGTTCAAAGTGGGGCGCATGCGACTCACGTGGCAGGGAACGTGTAAAATGGCGACAATAACCTAAAAAACAAATCGTATGTTACGGAGGACCGAAATATTTTGACCAAATTTATATTTTTCATTCTAGGAATGCAAGATTGCCGTAAGCAAGCTTGCGAATACTGCCGAGAGGAGCGCAATGCGAAACCGTTCAAAAGATAACATCATGCTCTATTATCTCTGGTTAACGGATTGAAGTTAATAACGTATGCATAAGAGTAAATTCAAAAAACTATTTCCCTAATCGGGATCAAGACCGTCGATAAACGCACAAGTTGAGAGTCGCTGTGATAAGAACTGCACTTGGTGCTTTTATTGTACGGTTCGATCCGTATATTCGTAAATGGGAAAACACATGTAATCAGGATTCGTGTACGCTACTGCAACGAAGTATGTATGAACACGTCGCTATGGTATGTATGAACACGTGCATGGTAAGCTATTGGCTAGTTCTCCATTACGAGCCAAGTTTTCGCAGCTCTAATACAAACGGCAAAACGTTCGGCCATTATTTTTATCCATAGCGAGACGCACGTGATGGCCATCATGTACGAACATTGACAAAAGCATAGTCGCGCGTAACTCTGTCCAACAATCAACAACTAAAAAATGCTTCTACAAATGGCTTCGCAATAAGAGAAAAACAAAATGAATAAAGGATATTCCGATTAACGAACAGTTTGAAAGTTCAACTACGCAACGAGGTCGCGACTTTATGTATTTTTTATCGGAACACAAAAATTAACGTGAACATAAAACAGAGTCAACGTAAAAATCCTGTGTGTTTATCGTATCATAGCACACTTCTAGAGAGCATCGTATCTGTACGATGTTATTACCAATATTAACTGTATCCATGCAATTATTTTCGTCTCCTCATTGTGACAGTAAAGCAACCGCACATTTTCAAGGATGAAACAAGACTCGACCACGTGAGCTGTAATCCTTTCGGTTATCGAGAACGTGTAGGAACATTAAGTAAGGCGCATACACACAGATGATCCCCGTTGTTATCTACACTACAGCAACACTGCAGAAAGATCGTGAAAGAAAAATGTCGCCTGCACGCAAATGAATATAAAAAACCACGTGCTTGAGTAGCAGCGATCCTATCTGCGTATAACAAAAAACAACAGATAAACCATTAAGGCCGTTCCATCAGGTTCTTAAAATACGGATAACAAAAAAATGTATACACGGTATTTCCTTTTATCTGTTTTCCTTTTCCATGTTGAATCTATAACGTGTAACCGTATAGTAATTTTCAAAATATCATTAGCATCCTGATTCTCCAACAACTCAATTAATATCCATCAAGCAAGTGTCAGAGAGAACACAGTTACGCGTGGTACAAAAATCGAATCTTCCAATCTTACCATCCTTGATCATCCTCTGAACGATGTTCACCATATCCTGGATTTCCTTCACGTGATACTCGTTATCCGTATCAGGCGCCAGACCAAAGTCTGATTCTCAAAAGTTAAGGGTCTTTAAATGTTTCACAGTAAGAGTCATGATCGACAATTCCTATTATGCAATGAACGTCTATAAGAACGTTATTCCAGTAAGTATACGGGTGTGCTCCGTACGTAAGGTTGGCCCAATGAGAAGCAAATAATCAGCTATAACAAGCGAGTACCAAGTGCTACCAAATCGGAGAAGGTCAAGGACAAGGATTGTTGTCGGAACAGTCAAAGGTAACGTGCAATGGTACACCATGCAATGAACGGATCAACGGAATCGTTGGAGTCATTCACATTTGGTATCATATAGATACTTCGACTAAGCACGCAGGACTGTTTCCCAGTGTTATTCAAGACTGGACAAAGGGAACGGAGACATTTTGAAAAACGTGAGTCACGCGAATGCGCCTACCGCTGTATTATGCATCAGAAGACAAATTCCGAGAGTAATGACGCCGGGCAAAGAATAATAAGTAAGACTTATCGCGCATTATGAATCGTCCTCCTTCCGGGGTCCATTAGGGCAATGGTTATCAACAATGATCAAGACGGACCCTTATAGCGCACGCGATTTAAATATTACATACTGATACAAAGTGGTGACATTTATCCATCCACGTTGAGAAACGTTATTAAATCAAAAATTTTCGAGAGGAAAATTTTCCATGTATACCAGAGGACAACCAAGATGACCTCCTCCCCGGGGATCTTGGTATTGATAGTAGATACGAAGGAATTTACAGAATCCCAGGAAAATACTTTAAACGCATATCAAGGAGAGAAAAAAGTACCCGTACTGCGTTCCTTTAAGGATTGTCTATCGTAGGGTAAGATTTCTGACACCTCCAAAATCTATTTAGGGACTCACCGGAAGTTGTCCTTCGTGCTTCGAGGGTCCCGCAGACCGGACACGAGGTCAGAAAGCGATAGACACAGTAAGGACAGACAGTCAGGGTTGGAAGCCAAAAAATTCTACGATTCTAAAGTGGCAAGAGATTGAGGAGAACTGCGTATCGTTTGGTACCCGACGGTCGTTACCAATATCTTCACGGGGGTGACCTTTAATCCGTAGCCGTTGATAAGAACCGTCCAATCGCCATTCTCATACCCACGGAAATGACCAATCCTACAAATTTTTATAGATTTATATTTTACTTTCGGTAGCTGCACCACTCGGTACGATAATAAAATATATGTGTATCCCATAGCACGTCACTGCCTTCTGTATTAATTCTTACAAACGTAAATTCATTAAACGTAACAGTCAATAAGCATAATCTGACTTACGCTGGCGAGCACCGAACGAATTAAAACTAGACCGCTGTTACGTACATGCAATACAATTTACAAAACGTCCGATGCATGTGATACGATACCTGTCGCGATCTCTCGGTTTTCCAATCGATATAAATGTTTGTATTTTTATCATTTGCCACCGTCGAAATAGACGTTGATATTGATTGCTATCACCTGCTACAGGTGCTTTCGATTTTATAATGCCGGGTATGAGTAAAGTATGCACAACTGTGCGACAGCACAGCTTGAAGCTTGGATTAAAACAATGGACGCCTGTTCGACAGTTACGCTTAAGTGAACATCCAACTAGACTTTACGTTTGGTTTGGACACGTGTTTGCTTTTCACTAGATTTCTTTCCTTTATAGCCAATACAAACCATGGGATTTTCCAACGGTTTTGCATAGAAAAATATAACAGGAGTTGGGCGATTGTACGCGTCGGCTCATTGTCCTGTAGGACAATAAATTTTATGGAACGATTACACATTGGTAATCGCTGAAAGCTACGTGACCAACGATACTTACACTGTATCGCATCGGAACTACATGAGCTCTTTACACATTACCCCTTAAATCGTTGATAAAATGAATTATTTATGATCAAATTTCGTAAACTCCAGACGGAAAAACAACACGAGTAAGCCTACACTTACTACGTCAGAATATGCTACAGCTAGTACTCCAAAAACCCTAGGCATTATGCTCAGAAAAAAAGAGCCCAATAATTTCTAGAACATATCGAACGTTTTCTACGGGACTGAAGATAGAAAAAAGAGCAGTCGGTTATACTCAAGATAAAGAAGCTCTTTAGCTACCCTCTTTCTACATAGCTTGTATATATACATTAACATAATCCCTACGTAAACGTACCTCGTATGTCTTTGCTGCACCCTGTTCAAAGATCTTTGCCGCTCCGTTTTCGCAATCTTCACTGGTTTTTAGTTTATTATTAAGCAATTACTCGTTAAAGTTCCATCAACAACGCAGTACACTGGCTTTTTCAATGTTTCCCGTTTCGAATTTGCTGTGCGTGGGTGGACAGATGCTGGCAAGTCGGCACAACCTATCGACGGCGTGTCAACCGTTCAACGCGCTTAAACTACTATACTGCCAGAGGTATGGGCCCTATGGTGTTACCCGGCACGACAAATGCTTGTGTACTAAACTACTACAGAATGTATAGCTATGTACGTGAGGACGGTACGAACCGTACTGCGCGAACAGTTTGGGTTTTCAGCAGGATTGCGCACGCGCCCTGTTGGTCACGCATGCGCACAAGTAGTAACCATACGAGGCGCGCCAGCTACTTCGCCACAGTTAACATTACCTGCAGTGAATTTTTACGGCCGTACGATCTTTATTACTCGAAGGGAAAAAGGAAGGCGCAGGGTCGTAGGTTGCAGCATATGTAAACTAAGAACTGATTTCTCGCTTTACGTAAGACTGCGTTAAAACATCCGATTATCGAATATGCCGTGGCCTTGTTCAAGGAAATCATGAGGTCGTTTCATCACATTTACTACGTATATTCGATATACTTCCGCGACTTCTTACATAGCTAGAGCAATGCGATATATACTTTTACTTATTACTTTTACTTTTTACTTATAAAAAATTGCATTATTGACGAAACAAACGATTTTGTAAAATTAAAACTTTCAGGACGTAATGACGAAGCAGCGTTGTGCCTCGAGTTATTCGACGGACAGTAAAATATCGCATAATCATTGGACAGTAAAGAAGCGAGGTCTCTTGGGACGACTTTGCAATTGTAATTAGCTTGAGAAACACTGACATCGCTGACCCGTACGTATCTCATAACAGAATACGCCGGCTGTCGTGCAAAGGTGCTGCGGAAATTTTGAAAACTATCGAACTTAAGGTGCTTTCACAACGCTATGGTAGACCGCATCGCATGGCACGAGGTATTGCACTTACTTAAAGGTACGGAGCACACCGTGGATAATCAATGAAATTAGTAAAGGATACATTGAATCATTTCCTGAATTCCAGTCGTCGAGAGTTCGTCTTGCGACGAGTAGCATGTGGCGAACTCCTTGCGCAAGTCATGAAATAGGGTATAATGGAGTGGAAGTTCAATGTCTTTGTTGCAAGCTTCCGGATGAAGACACTGTCTCAATGGTGCCTGTCCATCGACGATAAATCGTGGCGTACTTCCAGCTGCCACGCAGGTAAGGGATGACCACCACGACTCAAACTGTATATCAAAAATAATAAATAGGTATTAGCTTAAAATAATTTAATAATTTTAATATCGTTAATATATATTCATACAATGTAATGTATTCAATGAAAAGTAGATGTAACTTAACGCACTATATTTACCCTATTTTGATTAGCATAAGATTAAGCCCCTATTGGACTCTCCTCTGTCGCGCACTCTTCTCCGACTCACATGCATCTTAGGGCCCGCATGAAAGTGAAATGGCAAATAACGAAAAAGTTGCTTTTCCCACAACGATATTGATCTTCGCAAGGATTTTAACACGTGCCGGCTACGAATAAACCATGCGACGCATATTAATCACCGGCAGGACAAAAACATATGACAAAAGGAAGCGTCAAAAAGAAAGAATATATAATAGAAGTAAAATAGGAGGAACGAGTTATCGCGATGGTCATCATGGAATAAAATAATTCTTGCGACGTCTAAATTGATACTGGCATAGGAATAATATTATGCCAGTATTAATTTAGTGTTAATATCGAAATATTATTTATCCGCACACGCACGCACACACACCGTATGTATAGGCACGAATCATGGAAAAAGCTTAAGGGATATCACAAGGTTCTCGCAAAGAGAAAATTACTATAATAATACATCGGTACACTCGATTTCGAAAACATTTCTTCGCGTCTAGACGAGCATGTCGCAATCGGTAGAGCACCGCTTTGAAACGCGTCATTACGAGACAGCGTATATCCGATACCAAAGAATTTAATGATCTCGCAATCAGTCTCTTGCAATTTTTCTTTCTCCCAAATCGATTCCACGAATAGTCTTGATAGTTATAAAAGATAAATAAAGACAAAAAATTTGGTGACTAGAGCGTACCGCAAATTACCTACTTAACGTTTACGTTATTTCCATTTTTTTTTTTTTTCATTACTTTCTTTTGCTTTTTTCTTCTATATTTTCTGATCTATTTACAGCAACACGTATCTCTCATCTGCAGTCCGATAATTATTAGATAAACAAGCTGCTAGTTGAAACTTGCAATTTGTTTTCTTCGAATCGTAGGTAGTGTACGAAGTCCCTATATGAGGAAGCATTTTCTTTTTTTTTTAATCTTTGGCTTTCTCATTGATGAATCTTCATCTACTACCGACGATTCAGAGGAAGTAAATTGCAAAATTAAAATTCTTGGCTTCCTCATATAGGGACTTCGTACACTATACTTACGATTCGGAGGAAGCAAATTGCAAGTTTCAACTTGCAGCTTGTTTAACGTGAGTCCCCATGCCTCTCACAACTTGGGGTCCTTCATATTGTAGAGAACGCATGTAAGGATAAATCTCTTGCATGATCTCTTCGGGCCTAATATTTTTGAATCGGCTCAAAATTCAAGAACTTGAATATATGTATGTATAATCAAATCCGTTTTGCCGATCTCCGCCAAATTTGAAACATATCAGGGCTAAGTGATATTTTATGCTTTTGGAAAATTAGAGCTCAATCGTTCAAAGTTGACGGGAGTTATATTGATAAATTTAATTTTTCGAAAAATTCAAAATATGATAAAATCAAAACTTCTCGATGTATTCGGCCCAAATGCAATACCAACCAACCTTGGATACGAATCTCTTTGTCAAAAACTATTTAGAGGATTATCACAAAATTTTCGATTGCTAGAGTGATAACGTTCCTTTTTTGGAAATTTGAAAACGACATAAAATCCGAGCCGCAGCTTGAATCATGACGAAAATTATAATCAATGAAGGGATTATAGAGGTGCATATGCCTGTAAAATTTAGGGGCTATAGATAAAATCATTCTCGAGTTATACACGTTTGAATTGTGGGAGGCCATTACACACACACACACATCCGGAAATTTTCTCCAAACGTGATTTCTCGACGTTTTAGCACATTCTGAACATGGTGACATGAAAATCTCGACAGGACAATTTTCCACCGTCACATAGCTTCCTCCTCTATGAGGAAGCAAAAAACGAACACAGTTGAATTTCAGAATGCACTTTCGACACGAACGAGGATCGCCCAGCTGCAACAGATCGCCTATCTCTTTACCCTTCAAATTGTCAAGTATAATTTTTCCAAGAAAGCCACGAGAATTTCCGTGAAAGTGTGTCTTAAGGATGTGTACTCGCGTATGCCGCCCATAGTCAATTTAGTAAATGGAATCGCGAATGCTATCTCATTGATCTTCTCACGTAGAATAATGATAATTAACGCAGCGTTTATTAACGAAGAAATCGAGATTGATCGTGGGAATTATGGCGGGAAAGTATTTTGAAATTAATGTCATTAAAGTACCATTAACATCTTCTTGGAATGCAATTAATAAGAAAACCTGCAAATCTCTAAAAAGAAAAATAGGCATTATCGGGCAAAATTAAATGACAGGATCAAAGTATATTTTTTTTTTTTAAGCAAAATGATCAAATTATCAGTAACCCTCTGACGGACACCCTGGGTGATATACTAAGATTTAATGTACTAATTACAAGATTTTAGATTTTTTTGGGTTAACAATAGAATCAACAATAATTAAAATTTACGAATTATTTAGCAAATGCGTTTATACCTGCTGAATCGCTTGATGCAACGGGATCCCGTGTTCCCGAAGGGTCTGTTCGGTCAGGGCTGGAGCGTGCACGAGTGCCGCTTCGCTAATGACTCCGCTACTTCCGGGCACCACCGGATTTTCACTTCCGGTACCGCCGGCGGCGCCGCCATCCATCACCATCGGTCTCACGATGTACTGTTGGTACCCCATCACCTGGAAATAATACAAAGCGTGAGAACCACTGTTGGCCGATTGCTCCTGCAATTATGCATTTTGCACCTTGCTCTACTCGTTCACGTTGCACAAGATGCATATTTATAGGCGCACCGGTTATATTTAAAGTCAAACCATTCGCTATGAAAATCACGCAACGCCTACTGCACTCAACGCACCTATTAAATAAATTCATTCAATCAAAATGCATCCATCATTTGTCTCAATTTACATAAACTAACCGAACTATTCTTCCGTAAGTGCACTATGAACGTTTCAGTCCCCGACTACTTCGGTGCACACAAACGAGTCTGAAGTGAAGTAAGTCAACAGGCGCACCCCTATGCAATTCGAAATTATTCATTAATTAAACTTTTATTTTCCTTTTTAATTTCTTATATATTCATAATTCCATATTTAATTAGAAAAGTTCTTAGAAATTTCTCAAAAAACCGTGTGTCATGACCCGATATTTTTATGTATTCCCATAAATTGACATAGACAATAGAGAGGAAACATAGAAAACAATAACATGAGAAACACGACGGGGACAAAGATAGATACATAGAAAAAAAATTGTTAAAAAAATAGTCCTTGACACAGAACACACGAGCTCTTATGCTATCCTGGCAGTTTAGACTTCTTCAGTTTTCGAGTTCTCGCACGTACCTATCGAAACGGCGGGTCGCCACAGCATGAGAAGGAACCTTGGTAAATAATGTACTCATCTACTATTCAGTGGACGGCCATGACTTGTGAGCTTCTCGTCCGAGAGAAGCGTCTCGTCGAAGACTACGGGATGTAAAAAGAAAAGAACGGCGAATAAAGAACGCGATCGCGATAGGCCCACGAAATTTCATATTCGACTAATAGCGTCATTGCGCAGTATAAAACCATACTTGAAGCATTACAGGATACTAATTACGATATGAAATCGTTAAGGTATGCATCTATCCCTAAGAAATCAATTGTCTACGTTACTTTTGCGTTCATGTATGTATATGTATAAGCAGTACAGTAGTCTCAGGTAGAACGCGTTTATGTAAAATTGCAATAACGTCGTATGATAGCGTGATGCAATCCAGGAAATGGCATTGATGATGCCAACGCAAAATATCCGAAACTTCGTGACTGCTGCGCAAACCTCTACGTAAAGATCCATAAAAATGTATTATTCGTACTAAGTTACAAAATCGGCCACGGAAATGTGCTTTAGTGTCGCGTCTACGAGTATATTGCGGAAGAGACTTCCCAGAACGACTTGTATCTGCGCACTCAGAAATACGATTGGGCAGTCGACTGCGCAATTTGACGCACGCACAATGCTGTCATAACGACGTTACCGCGAAGAAGCGAAGAGTCTACAGAGAGAAAGGAATCTACTAGAAAAAGTGTAACGAGGAACAATCATTTCCTGACACATTAATTCCGTAGAATTTTTTGTACGAAAATATATCACTAGGAATACCCAATAAGCATGTGTCCAAGCTTACCGAAGTCACGATTACACTAAGAAAGAAAAATATATATATACAACACGAATTAGTTTCAGGTACTAAAGTGCAGATTACGGGAATGCCTGCAACAACAATTAACCCTACAGTACCGTAATAAGGTGTACTTTTGTCTAGGCGATACCTCCATTTTCAAATTACCCTAATATAACCCATAATAAACGTCACGATTAAATGAACCCTCTGACCTGCGTTTAACCTGGGAGAAGGTCCCTCGATATAATGCGCAAGTCTCTGTATGCGAGTGTAAGTGTAGCGTGTACTTAACGGAATATATGTATATCAATGTTCCCTAACCCGCATTGTATACAATGATCAGAGGATAAAGGCACACCTACGCAAGTCAAAGGCATTCACGGAATCGTACAGGCAAGCATTTTCGATCGAGATACTCGTTTTAAAAAAATATCGGTAGTATACGGTAGAACGTGGCCTGTAGAACTTCACCTGTGACCCGCATGCATGATACTCCCAACCATCACCAATGGCGACTACACTGTATCCATGACAAATCATCATGTTTTTACTAGATGGTGACTCGATTATTCGAGTTTCAAAATTGTGTAAAACACGAGAAGACTATATATATATTCACGATTCAGAAACGTAGCCCGACCCCCATTTCCCGTCGTACCAGCCGATGTTGTCTATTTTCAAGCGACATCAGATACAGCAAATGACGTGCAATCGATGTCTAGGTTATTTCAGTATTGGTCATAGGTTCGTGGGGTTAAGTCGGTTCGTTATGCAATTTCAATATATCTATCGCCGCGCAACGTTAAAAACAGTGTCCTTATGAGAATATTGTGCATGTGCCTTAAGGCAAACACGCAGGCGCAAACGTACGTGTTTAAATGTGTCCCCAAGTCATGGCGTGCAAGAAATGTAATAAGCAGGTACAACTACTTGAGGTTAACAGATCAAGGTAGTTCGGTCCGACGGAATTACGTACTTCGGATTATTATTGGCGCGTAGAAAAGTATTAATAAATTATAACGAACGTCTTCGCGACTTTTAATGAAGCGCCGCCTTTAGCGTTGAACTCTAAACTGTGAATTGCCTAACGATCTCGTACATCCTTCGACCATTTCTGTCTCCCTCTCGCTCATTGATCTTCGACGAAATTACTTCCACGAACGTCACGAAAAAAAAAAGAAAACTGCAAAAACAACTACGCTCTGACGTAATAGGCTCATCGGTTGGATAATTCCAAGAAAGAAAAAAAAATTTGGCAAGTAAAAAGTAACAATAAATATATTTCAATAATTTTGGACAACAGCTGCGACGTGGAGAAACCTCGTTTCTTCATTTGTCGACATCTCAAGTATCTCCAACGGAAATGAAAAGCTCGCGGAGGAAAGCCATTCCGTGATTCACGTGACCACTGAGTTGTCTAACGACAGACTGCTCGACAGTGTTTAGCGAGTAGATAATGAATAGACTTCGAGCTGTTTAGGCTACGATTAGCGAGTAGTAGTGTATCTCGAAATCTGCTCTAAGAATCTAAAGGCGTATCCACGACATGGTCACCGGTGTAAGTAAACTAGTACCGGACGCCGGTCGATTAATTGTGTAATATGTAGCCCCGTGCAATCAGAATCGTCATGCTGGTCATCCCCTGTCATCATGCATGCAGTGATAACTGATATCACGTTGAACAAGCCGATAAGCAAGCTCACGAGTTTTCCACTTCGCTGTATACTGCCACACGAGTTAAATCGGTTGTAGCATATTTAAAAAAAAAATAATGGTAACTCTAAGAGGCACTTTTTCCATCGAGATCGGCATACCTCTCGCTCTAATTATAAACTGATGGAATCTTGATCTCGCGCCGTGAAACTAGACACGGTTATAAACATGTATATAGACCTGTTAAATGTACTGTATGTGATATATTGTCATGCATAAATATAACGAATAGACAGGAGTTGAGCGTGATTCTAGCTATATGTGTACATACATAAGTGCGTTATACGGTGTTGCATTCAGCGCCGCGTGCATGTGGCTAAATGGGCCTGAGCTTTTCAATTATGAATATGCATGGGGTCTGCGTATCGCATTATCATTGGCAGCCTTTCAGTTCGGCCACTTATTTACCTGTTGAGATACGAGTTCGCGCATTTCAGCATCGCACTCATTAATGGACGTCATTGTCGCGCTCCAGGAGGACGAAGGGGAAGTTGAGGGGAAAATAAAAAAGGAGAGACATAGAGAAAGTTTCGTGAGTGACAAAGTACAACAGGAGTGAACGGAGTACGTGCGAACCGTGTTCGAGGGGGATAAAATAAAAATATATTTATAAAGAGAAAGAGCAAAAGATTGAAATATTATAATGATAAATGACTTCCAAGAATCGAGGATCATCATAATCCACCCTGTCTCCAGTGGAATAAATATGTCCTAGTAAAATCGTAGAACGAGATTAACCACGTGAAGGGAAATTAAAAAAGAGAAATATACAAACGTAGAATGCGTGCAGTCAGTTGAATACAAATTGCAACGAGTTCGCATTGCATAAGAACGAACCGTTAGCATGTCCGTGGGACTTGGTGGACTAGTGAATGTATTGAAAAAGGTCAAGGTGTTAATCATGGTAATTCGGCGGACGATACCAACCGAGCAACGCAAAATTTGAGGTTAGGTTAAACGATTACGGCAGGGCCAGTGGATAAATACGTGGATTTCATTAGATGCAAAGCATAGTCTTCTCATAAATTGTAAATTTGTATGGCGTCGGGCGCAAGACAATGAATTTTCCTGCTTGAGACAGCTGAAGGTGAATGAGGTGGACGTAAGTAAAAAGGAATCGGGTCGTAGGTCGCCGTTACTAAGAAGTCACAGGGTACTCATACGTATTCGTTACACGCATATAAATGCCCTTGATATGCGGCGACCATTGAAAGAATACGTAATGTCCTCCCTGAACCAGTATTTTCCTTTACATTGAAAATTACCAAAGAATTTCTTTTGGACACGTCGAAATTTCTCGACACACGTAGTTCAACCTATAACTTGCTTCTCCAAGAATCGATGTTAGATTTCTTAACCAGTCCTTATTTTAAAACGGCATTGGCTTACGTGCGTTGTTATAAAAGTTCATTAGTTATCCGTGGTAAACAGGCTCGTTAATTTTTATATCGCTACATGCACCGCATGCTCTCGCTAAATTGCTCAGCACTGGGGCTTCCCTAACAGAACAGGTTCGGTAAAATGGTCGCCTCTATTCACACGAAATAATCATGCGCAAACTCAATGATACGAGGTGTCCCAATAAAGTCCGCATAATTATATGTCGATGACGTTTAACGAGAGATCGATAGTTATTTAGGATGTCAATAATCTGAACACTGCGAATAATAATTGGATTGATAAACAAGAAATCACCATAATTTTCTTATACTTTATTTTTTTTTTTTATACAGACTTTTATTTTATTCCTCGAGCTTAACGCCATTCTCAAACAACGTCCTACGTAATCGTCTACCGACTTGGCAAATCTTTAATTAGAAGACATTTAATTAACGACTCACACGAGCTGCGATTCACTCTGTCGGCACGAATAATCCTATAGGAGTTACTACTATCAAAAGATAATCCTGTATTATCTCCTTTTAAGGAACTCCCACTTCCGTTCGCGTACTCACATATGTGCCTATTTTTGAATAATAATAGTGTTTTGATTATCACAGGAAGGTTATGCTGCCACGAATAATTATTTGAATCGTATAGCAGCAACGTGTCTATGTGGATTATGAACATTTTCCATGTATGTACATTTGTATCTATGGTCGCAAGCCATTGAGTTTTCCTACGTCAATTTCTACAGACCTACAAGCTATTTTTATACCAGTGTACAATTCCATTTATTATCAAACTATTTTCAAGCGACTTTCACTAAGGTCTGTGGCCACTTTTGTCAATGATGTGACTACAAGGGGTATACGAATTACTGTACAATAATATATCAAGATTAATACTGAAGTATAATGAAAAAAAAGAAAGAACACACCAATTATGTTCCTAGCCAAGGCGAGCAAAGAAGTCCATTGTAAACAACTCCTTTGTTCTAAGAAATCGACCGAAGAGGTCGCAAATCCAATACAACGCAGACTTTAACCTTAATACCATAAACGAAAGACAGATTGTTCATAATACCAAGTGAATCTACCTAATGTTAATAAAAACATGAAACACAAGTACTGATCAAGAGTTATTTGAAAAAGTTCACGATACCTTACAGAAATTATAAAGCGACTTAAATACTTTAGTCACGAACATAATTTATCCAGAACTGACAACATGGGATTCAGTGCAGTCACTTCATGGGAAACATGCACGGGGGTCATGCATACAGGAAATGAACAACTACCTGACCGAGACTTATGAAACGGTAATTCTATCACAGTGGAAACTCAGCTTACAAACCAATGTCTCTCTTGTGGCTTAATTTGAAAGGACAATCTATTGTGAGTTCATGCTTAATGCATTATATGATTTTGTGGTTATCGTGACTTTTAAACGTGCTTACCTTGTTCTGGAGCGCATCGATGAGCACGTAAACGAGAAGGGTGATTTCCTCCTCATCGGAACCAAGAGAATCACCCTGTAGTCCTGCCGTCGCCACGTACAGGGCGACTAAATGAGTGGGTCCCCGTCCGGTCATCATCCGCGCTTCCGGGGGGGCTCTTGTATAGCGCGTCCGAAAACCCGGACGACTTTAGAAGCCTGAACCCTCTTGATTCTCGAGATGTAAGTATCGCCACAACAGTATCACGCACCAGGTCACCGTCACTCACCGCAATTCCTGATGGATGTATATCCCTGTCGGCACCACAACACAATTCTTACAGCGACATGTCTGTCGGCGGTCCCTCGTGACTAGGGAATTTTGAGGTTATGGAGACTCGGCCGGGTTTCACGACGTGCAGAGGGGATATCCCCGTTATAATCACTAAGGTAAGAAATACCTTTAGACCGAACGCGCACGCACACGAGATAACCTAATCCACAAACTTCTCTTCCAGAAACGTAGGAATTTTCAGCACCAGTACAAAGAGACAAACTTGTCCAAGTATTATTTTCAATATTTATGTATTTCTTGTCTTCCTTTTCACGTGAAAAGTTCTAGCATGATTTCCGTCACGCACTGTCGGTTGCTCACCTGGCGGCTGCGCGTCGCTCTGATCTAACCTGAAGATCTGTCTTGGAAATGCGCCGTGTACCGTCGCGACACGCACAACACTGTTAGAGTCTTTGTCGCGATCCTCGTGAAATCGCGAATTTTTAAAGGGATGAGAAACCGCGGAGTGACGAGTTTTCACAGGGCGATATGTGAGCGCGACGCGAATTCGGCTCGGCTTCTGCCGCGGGCCCGCAGTGAAAATGCGAGCCAGGTAAGCCGAAGGGAAAGGTGGGCCAAAGCACTTCGTTGTCCAGGTGCGCAGACTATCCACTCCGCTGACACTCGTCGACGTCATCGTTACCGCTGTCCTCTGATATTCGTTGTACATACACGAGGAACCCCTTTAATATGAATTTCTTATTGGATTTCTTTACGTGGGCATACAATAGTCCAAAACATAGTATGTATATACGTATATACCGTTATTACTTATTTTATACGAATCTTAGTTTTCATTGATTCCTTTCTTGAGTCTTCTTCTTTACCGTTAGCAAAAAATAAATTACGACGACTTATTACAATGTTCTCCAGCAATGGCAATTCGCAATTAACATTGTACCTTTGTCATTTTTATTATACATAAATAATATATCACTGTAATGTTTACGGTATACTATACCTATATATAAAATATACATGTATATATTGTATGTGTTTCAGCATAAACAAATTGTACAAAGTGTCGCTTCTATCCTGATTAATTATTCAAACGTGGCATTACTATGGAGCGTTTCGCAACTCACTTTTCTCCACGTCGTTTTGCGTCAATGATTTTCCTATCCTAGGCATCCCAAGCTACAGTAAATATTATAATTTTGGTACAGTAGTATATTTGTTTACGCCTATAATTTTGCAACAAGAGGCCAAATGGCCACTCTCTACGTCACTTTGCTACAGCATTTAAAGATATGTCCGATCTTTTAAAATATGTATATTCCTTCGACAGTCGCGTTGACATGCTTTAGCTTCAATTTATTCAAGAAATTTTACAAATTAGATTTCCATATTTCATAATTTCAAGAAAACTATTATATATGAAAGAAAGATGAAACATCCAACGTTATAAATAATTCCCGTTAGCCATGCGGTGAGTTTCATTTTCCAAAATTTTCCCAGATATTCGTGCATTGCGTAAGCGAGGTTTATGTTTTGTGTAACCACGAGAAATGCGTGACAGATCAGGAACACGTTCGACGAACAATCTTCGAACCGTTCATGACCTTGTAACGTGTACAATACAACTCCATGTATAGAAAATAAATCGCTCTTCCCATCTTCAAACGGTACTTCAAACACGACGATGGAATCGGCGAGCTTCTGGATCCCGTAAGACACGTAGATTAATCTACGGCCCCCGTTCATTTCCAAAACTCCACTTTTACCATAACAATGTAATGAAAGCCGGCATTAAACATCTCATATATTATAAGAGTAATGCAGTCGCTTCTCGTTAGTCTTAATCACCTACGTCCCGTTCATTAAATACTGAAAACTCTTCTCGCTTTAGGTACAGTTTACATGACTCTTTTATCGTTCATAAACAATACACGATGATAGCTCAGTGCGAAGTGAGGGAATGGTAGGACAGAAGTCACACTGGGAATGTCTTCGAAGCGAAGAGCTTTGTTGCGTAAAAGTACTTGGAGGAGCGATGGACGCGTCCGCGTCATTCTATTGGTCGGTCACCTGTTGCCTGCCGGGCCCTGATTGGTCAGTGCTGGCAGGCCGTAACGGCTAGAGGGAGACAAGTGCATTGGAACTCAGTCTGTAACGGACTAAGATCGCGACAGGAGAAGGGGCTGTGGGCCAGCGCGAAACTTCTGACCGATTTCTTCCAGGTTCTAAGCTTTTTTTATTAGACGGCCGCGAAACTACCTATGATTATTGGTCGGCTCGGTATTTGCGGTCGAGCTAGGTCGATCATGTGAGTCAATTTTGGGGTATTGAGTTTTCGGCGTGGCACGAGCGATGGTTTGTTTACGGCACAGTGGTAGGACACTATTCCCGCCGGCCATGGACTGGCAGGTACAGTTAAGGCTATACAAGATGCGTGGAGCGATTTGCTTGTTTATTTTTCGCTCTGCAGCAATAACGAGGAGAGGGGACTTCGCCGAATAAATTTGTGAGCATTAAGGCCGCCCGAACGTTTCCGCGTGCGCTCAGCATCTACCCGACTGTCTCCACCAACGTGGTAGGGTACACCGACCAGTAAATAGACTAATAAGTAAACCGTCATGTATACACTCAAACCGTAAAGTTTAACAATATTGGCAGAATAGTTTTCAGCATCGATGTAGCTGATTCATCATAATTTATATTAATTGTCCAAAAATATTCCAAGTAGTCAATGCACAGAAGTTGGAGAAATCGATTGAAAACTAGCAAAGTAACAGACATATCAGTAAATGGACAAAAATGACTAAAAATGCGACATCAGTCGTGAATGTTGATTACATGTGATGTTTCACTCATCGTGCTAAAAAATGGATAAATATTATCTTATTCGCGCTGTATTAAGATGTACGGTAGATATAGTTACCTCGTAGTACAATAAAAAAGAACTTTATTGTTTATTACTTCACATTTCCTTCATATTTGCATGATGCCATAATCATTTATTAATAATGCACATGGTATATATATAGAGAGAGAAAGAAGTACTGTAGAATGAAAAGAACAGAACTTGAGGGTTTTTACCGTTTTTTAAAGATTTTTACTCTCAAGATAAATAATTAAAAAACTTTTTTCTTCTATCAAGTTTCTATTTATTTTGTTTTGTAGTATATCAATATTTCTTATCATTTCTTGAACTGGAATGAATTACAACACGGTGAATGATTAGCAACACTGATTTTGAGCGCGCATAATTTTGAAAGACATTTGATCGTTTTTCAAAATGTACGGTGTATTTTTGATAAAAGATCATGCTTCCAATATGAAGCAAATATGACGTATCAATAAAAATTCTTTTTCATCATGCCATGAAGTAAACTTAAACCATACCTACCGTATATTTTGGTTGAGCATAAATGAGGTAATATTTATCTCTTTTTTAGTTCAATTAATGAAGCATCACAGGTAATCAACATTGACGATTCATGTCGCATTTATATGCCATTATTTAATTTAACAAATATGACTGTCAACCTTACTGAACGTTGTGTTTAATCATACAGGTCTTTACTTAGGCAGTGATTAAACATACATTCCAGATACTGGCTAAAGAATAAAGATTTAGAATCACAGTATTATTATTGAAATTAAATACTAATATATATTTTAATTTATTATTATTCATATTATTATTTTGATTAAACACAGCACAAACATAAAGTTTTTTAGCATGATAATTCAAATGTTATACTTTTTGGCATTTAAAGTATAATTACTCACAATTAGTCTTAGATTTAGGCTGAGACTTATAACGATATTAATAAATACTGAATAATAAGTAATGCAAAATAATTTTCCAATTTTTAACAAATGACCTCAAAACCAAATATCTTTATTCAATTGTTCAATGCGTTTTGTTAATCACGATATTAGAGCCCACATGATCATTCGCTGATAGGTTAAAATATGAGGCCAGTAAATAAACAAGATTATTTACAGCATATTTTTACGATATTAATGAAAAAGTTAGTGCAATATAAATAAAGATAAACTCTATCTTTACCAATAAAGCTCAATACTTAACCTCAAAGATGCATTAAAACACCTATCGTAGCTAGTCATTATTGAGCTGACGAAGCTGTTCATTTAGTATTTTGCGTGCTAAATGCATATTATGAATTATAAAAATTCTTCCTGGCGTCGAAGCTTTACACAAAGCCGTAGGATCGGTCTTAGAGACATCTGTGATGTTTTTCTTAAGCTGAGTAATTGAATTATTTGAACAATGTATAGTTCCATTTTATTTATAAGACATAAGTGAACATTTTCATTCAGCTTCATTCAGTTTCATTCAGTTTCAGGTCAGTTTACCCTATTCTATCACTAATGGAATAAGAGCGCCTTCGTCTGTATATCTCTTCATAGCATTGCAACGATAAGCAATAAATCTACGCTCAAAGGAATTTATATCTCGAGTTTCGCACTGCCTTTCTTTTTCTTTTCTTCCCTTTGATTTCCTCGCTCTATATGTATACACATATTTGGCGCAAGGCTTCACCGACGTCTCTAAACTTTTCATGCTTCTTCACGTGCCCGTCTAGGAACGTGTACGGGACACACGTTCCTTGCACGGCCGCCACTCGTAGAAGTACCGTATGACCTCGCAAAAAGGCAAGTCTTCAAGGATGTCGCAAAATTCTATTTTTGATAATCATTATAGCAAGCATTAACATACTCGCTGAAGTGCCATATTGCCAATATTGCTGTATAATGATCATCAGTACCGCTCTACCTGCATGACATCCCTATGTGAGATACTTCAGCATAGCCATGCTACTCCACAGCATATGGATTCGATACATACTCGATTCTACTGGATACCGTCGCCTTTTACTTCTTGGTCTACCAGCAGTTTCCTTACTGCGACAGGTGCTCAACGACGGTATTACGCAGGAATGCATTGGGAACAGTTATCCTGGATATCAAGAAACGGAGTCTTACCAGTTCATGGAAGGTATCCATAATTTGTATAATTTCATATACAGATTTAATGGTTCTTGCTGCTCTTTCTGGACAGCTCGGTCGGTTTTGAATCTTCCTTCTTGGGGTCGATCTATTTGGTACGGACAGTAAGCGTACCTCGAATTTTATACTCGGAAGAATTCGATGCTCCTATGGTATTCGACTTGCGGTACAAAAAGCCTTTTTAAAAAAGAAAAATATCGAGTCTTAAGTTACGTAAGGCAATCTCGGGTGGGGTAATGGTGGTCCAGTCGCTGCCGTGACGAAATCTAAGAACGCGGCACTTTCGTCCTTTTGTTTTGGCAGCAATGATGGCTGCTCGCGCTGTTGTCCAATGGCTGCGAACCAACTTCAACGTGAGTCTGCAGCTTCTGGTCAATTGCGTATCAGGAGTAATTCTTAATTGATAGAACCCACAGAATTTTACATAGTTGCTTCTTTTCTTTTAAGCTCTCGTTTATTTTATCCGGAGTTTGCACAAAGAATTTTTGACCAGCCTTTTTTTTGGGGATGGGAAAGTTGCCGGATGAGACTTTACGACACGGTAGGGCTGTTTGCACCTGTCCTAGGGACGATCCACCTGTTTTCCACCCGACAGGAAATCCCTCGTCCGTATAACAGCAATAAATAACCGGCTATAGCGGATTTTGTAAATTTTCGTGCCCCCCCCCCCTCCCCCCAAGTCAGGTTCAACAGCTGGACTCAGTCTTTGCTTCTTACGACTGAACAATTCAAACGCAGATAATTAATCTGTGACGCAGGAGAAATCTGGCACAAGGATAAAACCGCGCGAAGGATATGAACGCGTTGAAACGCAATTGTCGACGTAAGGATCTCGTTAATAAAACGAAAAATTCGTACAACGTTTAAAGTTTAAAATTTGTTATTTGCTCGAAAAAAAAATATAAATATCGTTAAGAAGACGAAAGTCATGATATTTTCTCATCTATAATTAACACAGCCTCATTCAGTTTCACACGACACCTGTGACATTTATAGTTTCTCATTAATCAGAGTATTTCATGCTAAATCGTTTTTCCGAATAATAACACATCCCACTGAAATCATTAACAAGAATACACGCAAATTACTAAATAATTGCTATTCGCAAATCGGATATCAGATTATTAAAAAAAAAATACCTCCATATAATCTATATTTGCACACACTCGCTATTTTGATTGTCATTCTTCCTGTTTTCCCTTTCGCAATTCTTACACCGGTACATCGTCTTCCCGTAATTTCCTGTCTCTTTCGAAAGAGACTGGTAGATCCGTACTTAGGAATTTCATACGTAAAAGAAAATAAGGAAGAAGCAGAGAACGAAGAGAAAACAAGAAAGGGAGAAGAAGGACGTACAATAAAAAGACCGAAAAAAAAGGACACAAAAGAAGTCAGTACTTTAACACCTGTCATCTCACTGAAAGCGGTAGATTGCATGGCATGCTTAAAGTAATAAACCGTATATACCGTGGCAAACAAAAATAATAGAATCCTAACAAGTCTAATTAGAATTTCTTATTATTTTCCAACCGTTCTCTTCGAGTGCGAAGATCAGTCCCAAGTACAGCCTAAGAAATTTCGTAACACACTCGTCAATGCAAATTCGAGTAACACCTCTACCTCTTAATGGCGGCAACGTTCAAGTGGGATAAATTTTAATATTACACCGTCAACCGTTTTTATATAAACTCCTAGGTTGTATGTCCTCCCACCATTTACCGTCTACCATTAAACTTTCATTAGATTATTTCTCCATTATCCGGGCCAGGTTTCGGGCCCATGATTTTTTCCCATGAAACTCTGCCCGCTCCAGCGTGAATAAAATGCCGACGTGTACGAAAGGACGTTTCGGCTTGGCCTTTCAGGATTTTGACCACGTACTATACATACACACATATATACTTGCAAGACTCTTGGCCGACTCACTGAGTAGATCTCAAGACTTTTCTGACGCACTTTTCCCATAGCATAGCGTGATACGGCAATACGGCATAGGTGATCTTACATATACAGGTATAATCAGAAACTTGACGCCAAGTAAATTGATACCGTATAGATTTATTTGATCCTAACGGTGAATTCGACCAAGTGTCCCCTACTTGATGAAGAAGTCTGAAAAATTTTCGTAAGATTTTCTTCCGGGCAAAACGGGTTGCCAGCCGAATCCGGGTAGCGGCGGAGTGAAGTCAAGACTCGAATATCCGGTTTGGAAGTGGCTGGTTCGCTGGGGCATTACGTAAGCCGGTCCCGTCTGTCGGTCTGTCCGTCCATGCGCTACGAAGAGGTCGTAGAAGAAGGTGAATTCCGAAGGATTGCGCAAAAGACTGTCTGAGCCCTTCCTGCGGTATTATTTTCTCTGAAGGGTTTGGATAGGTTATTTGGATATCCTGCATCCGGATACGCGTAATAATTTTAATTGTTCCATCGTAACCTTATGATAGAACATGGTGACGTTACAGGATAATACAATAATTTTTAATAACTATAGTATAGCATAGAATCGTGCGTTGCGATTTTTCTATAATTGCCCATCCGTGAACGACCTCATCAGAACCATAGACAATGGGGTGGCCTTGTCGCGTTCCCATTAAATGGCAGAAAGGTTCCCATAGTCCTTTGGTGTCCTTGTGGATGGTCCTTGACGGTCCTTGGCAATAGAATTTCTAGGAGGCTGAATAGTCCTTACGGTTCTCTTCATCAATGGTTTATGATGAATGATTAATCTGTCATGAAATCATTATCAATCGTTATAGATTACCCAATAGAAATTAAATTATTACGTATTTATCTGCACCCTTCTCAAAAATACCGAGTCCACAATACCCGGCTAGATAATCCAGGTGAAAAAATTCTGGAATCCAGGGAGTCGAGATCGTCATGGCTTCCGAGCATCGCCACGGTCCCGCGAGCCTGGATATTTCGGAAGCGATGGTTCCGCGATTTCCACGAGAACATCGCCTCATGGTGGAGTAAGGTATAGGTCTAGCAGGAGTCGAGGTACGCAGCCAACCTGGTGAACAGAAGTAACCAGGCAGGAGGAGGCAGCCAGGCGGGCAAGGTAAGACCGTCAAGGAAGGTGGTAAAGTGGTTAAGGTGGGAAGATAGAGGAAGGTGAGAAGGTAGGTAGGTGAGTAGGTAGGTTTGCATCCGTGAAGTAGGTGTGCAAGAAAGGTATACGCTGATAGAAAATAATGTGGAAGAGAAAGAAGGAAGAGATATGTGATAGAGTGTGTAAGTGTATGTGTACGAGAGAGAGAGAGAGAGAGAGAGAGAGAGAGAGAGAGAGAGAGAGAGAGAAAGGGAGAGAGATAGAGGAAGAAGGAGAGTGGAAGACAGCGAAACGAGCGGCCCGAAGCGTATAAGAGATAGTGGTCGCTGACCCGCTCGGAACGTTGACTCCATGTAGTCAGTCCCCTCTTTATATTTTGTTCCCAACTTACCTTACCTTACCTTGCCGCCCTTATCTTACCTTACCCGCCTTGCCAGTCTCTGGCCGGTACGCGGTCTAACCTATCTTACCATCTACCTCGAGCGCTCTCTCCTTCTTATCCATCTTCCCCAACCAAGACTTCTTCTCTGGGTGGTAAGGCCAGGTTTATAGACGAATTACCCGCGATTCCTCTACTTGCATATATAGTCCAAGTCATTTATTAAATGCATGTAATGTTTCTGACGTCATTCACGCGTCCTAACCTAAATTAATACGTCGGATGAGTCGTACATACACATGTACGTTATGCACGGTAGGTATAACTATTTATTATCTCTGTATTTCGTCTATGACCGTTCATTCTATTTTGACGAGCTTAAAGAATCGAAAGTATCACTTTCAAGAATGCATGGTGTTCCGTCGCCATTAAATACCGTTGCGCGGATCGTAAAGGAGATCTTCTACGTAGTCGTCGGACTCCTCGTTCTCGTCTTAATTAGGCAAAGTCACTGTACGTATACTAACGAGCTGTTACGGTAATTGCCATCAAGGACTCTTGGACGAGGAAGGAAACCGTAGATGCACTCAGAGATGCGTGAACGATTTCGTCTTATGGTGTCTTAATAACATGAATTTCGTGGTCAACTTTGTCTATTTAATGGCGTCTATCGTCACTAGGGAATGTAACGTAGATACGATGAGTTAATGACGCAACTCGGATAGATGACATGGAGCCGTTCAATCAGCCAATGGTCACACGTACGTTACCTACGTTATGAATAAGTTGATTTGTAATTAACAGAACGTTAATGAACATTGATTACAGTATTATAATTAAAACAAAAATTACGAATTATAAGCTATCAGGATCTGTTGAAGGTTTCGTACGCATATTTACTTTCAAACATACCTATACATTGTACGGTTCTTAATGATCTCATTAGAGGCTTTCCTATGGTAAGTGAGTTTGGAAAATTGGACAAATATAAGTTTGGAAAGTTTCACTAACGCATGCTTATAGGAAATTGCGAAAACAGCAATTTTTGAAAGCGACGAACCCTGAATTTTCCTATGTTTGACTCAATCGTGACGAATGTCGTGTAGCAGTGAAAGAATTCAGCGGGTGGTGTAAACCAGCCTTAATAGATTGAGTTCGTCTGGCCGTAGCGTGGAGATCTTTTCCGGATTCGACACCCCGTCGTTTTTTAGCTGCACGAAAACCTGGAGAGCCGGTTTCGTCCATTCTGTTCGATCGGATTAACTTTTTGTATATATATACATATATGCTCATACCCAACATTTTATTTATATATATATACAAATAAAATTCATACATACTCTGTCACCGCCGATCATCCCTGCCGTTTACGATTAGGGGCCGCGAGCTTTATAAGAATTACCCTGTCCCTATGGACCTGGAATTTCTAATTAAAAGAATGTTCTTCGTACTTCATCTATGTATGCTTGACCTGCTTTCATTGGATTGAAAAGTCATCCCGTATCCATTCTCTAGTATGCATGTGCACGTACACATGCCTGCCTCTCAAAACACTCTAACGTAATTGGTTTGATTCGTTAACCAGTATTTTTTTAGCAAAATTATCTTCAGCATTTATCGGCTAGGATAACATCGATAATAACTATATGTCTAGAAACCTATAAAAATTACAGTTTAACTCTAGTACAAATGATTTTATAAGGTTCAGTTCAGAGGGTTGTTCACCCCGTGACGTTGAGAGGTTCGATCCGCTTCCTGGAGTTGGCTGACTTGGAAAGATCCAGGTAGCGGGTTGCATCTATTCTGTTCACTTGGTTCAGAGTCGGTTTAAAACGGTTTTCTCGTTCCTCCGCGAACAGAAAAAGAAAAGTCCCAACTACGATTCGTTCCAGTCGAGAAGCCATCTATGTTGGAATCAATTGTATTAAGTAGGAAGTGTACAAAGTTGAAGCTGCGTGGCTGAAATCGAAGATGCAATGTGAAAAGTAGTGAAGCTATTTTTTTTAATGATGACAAAAGGTATTTCTCGGAGAGTATGATTTATTAGAATCCACCCTTTTATCCATTTGACACTTGCGCGACTGGGTATCGTATTAACAGGGATTAAACTTCACCTTCTTTACACTGTATTATTTAATTTATTATGGTCGTATTACGATAGCCATCTTGGATATTCGAGTGGCTAAATGTTTTAGTCTGTTTATTGCTATATCTTGGTAAATTACTTATTTTACCTTATCTTGTCGTATGCATGATCATGGTATGACCCTGTGTCGTTAGAATGAGGCCCTGAAAGCACTATTATGCAACGCGGATATCCTTTGAAGGTAAACCGTACGATAACACTGTAACGTAATATTATGCATATAGCGCTCTACGAGCAATACTGTATTTCTTGTATGCTTTTACATACTGCTATTTTCGTAAGTTATTTAATACGGTGGCGCTGTGGCAATTTTTCAACGTATAATGACATCACTGATAAATTAATTGATACACTTTTACACAAACGTTTATTACCATTTTTAATACTGAAATTTTATTTTATTTATCTGCCAATCTATATTGTACTTGAATTTTTTGCAAAAGTTTATCGACTTAGAAATATAGATAATAACTATAGAAACTTTTGAAGTTATGGATTTGTTGATATAAATAGGACCACGTACAGAGAAAGTTACTGATCGAACTGGTCTACCTTTTCCATAATCGCTAAATGATCTGTTTTGTTACTTATGCGCGTGTCGTAGAGATGGCAGCAGGGTTGTAGCGATCGACGCGACACCATAAAAAAAGATCAGCTCGCCAGGATTTTCTGAAATCAGTGTTACGTTCAATTGTGTTGTTGTTTGTATTGACACTGGAAAACAGTTACGTTATTGGATTTTTAAGATTTTTATTGGCACGCGATGGCTGTTAAAGAGAAACAATCAGAATCAGTTGAGGAGATTGAATGGAATGTGGAAAATGAAATACAGCTTTTCTTTGCTATGAACGGCCATAAGCCTGTTGGTAAGAATTTATGAGACGTATTATGTATACTTTTGAAGGTAAAGCTATTAAAATATTCAGGAAAAAGGGATTAGAAGGTAAGATTGATAAACTGGCGAAACCTATTTCATTTTTGATCCTTACAGGAGTAAACAAGTACTTTCACATGGTTTGCATTTGGGAAAAGTTTCGTGCAGCTATTCATAAAGACGTGTCTCTAAAGATTATTTGGGATCATTTAGAATCTATGTACGATCTAATGGCTTTGGTAAGTTAATAATTTAGTCATTAATAACATTAACATATTTATATGTGTATTATTTTTATTAGGATGACACAGAGGATCTGCCTTTTCCTAGTAACGAAATTGACTTTAATCTTCCTGAATCAGAGTTCTCCATGCTAATGAAGTCTCGAAAGAAGGACGAATCAGAGGTTAAAATAAAAGATTCAAAGATTCATAAAGAAATAAAAAAAGATAAAGATGGAAAAGATACTGTTAAAAAAGATGTACAACCAAGAGACTCGAAAGGAGGTAAAGAAATTGAGAAAAAGAAAGAGGATATTAAAAAATTTATCAAAGAGACAGAGGTTAAAAAAGAGAAACTTCGTGAAACAAAGGACATGAAAAAAGAACATAAATCTTCAAAAGGACGACCAAAATCAAAGGATGACACAGAGGATCTAGGTATTTTTTAACGTTTTTTAGGTTTGCTATTCTAAAATTTGTTCTATAATTTTATTGACTATGTTTAAGTGACAGCAAAAAAGGAACGTAAGGATTCTGACTCCAGTCGCGAAGGACCAAAGAGAGGCCCAAAACGGCCAACAAGACAAAGTATAGACAACACATCAAAAGCTTCGTCAAGTCCTCGAGATACTCCACCTCCTAAGCGTCGTAGGATATAACTCAGCAAGATGCAATATTGTATCAGTTTCCCTTTAAGGTTATGAAGAAATTGATGGTGTTACAACTTGTTCAACATTAGATAAACATTGCTTTAAGTTTCCTGCCATACTGCAAAAGTATTTGTGTAATGCACCATTATTATACGACTGGGCATTTTGCATATTACATTTTTATACTTGAATGAGATTCTAAGCAAAAATATGTAAATAAATTACTATGCTTTTTTACAAATCCAGTTACTTTTTATTGTAACACTTACTGTAATATGTATATACTCTTTAATTCTTAAGCATAACCTAATTTAGTTATTTCATTGGTATTCTTACAGTGAAGTTATCACCATTTTTTATATTCCAGATATCTTTTCTTGATTCAAATATCATTTCAATTGCTAATATATAAATTTTTAAATAAAATAAACACATTTAAATCACTGATATGAAAATATATACATACCAAGTAAATCTGTAAGTCTCCATCTTACAGCAGTAAGTTTGCATTCTTATTGCGCATGGTGCTGATGAAGAAGCTGGTATTACGATACCAAGTTGAATTGGTTTAAACAAATATAAGCTTTAAACATTTGTATATATGGTAAATAATAAAACAGACTCTTTGTGGTTACCAGCAAGGATTTATTGCGGTAGTGAGGAATCTTGTGTACAGAACAGATTCATGTTGAAGCTAGTCATTATCCTCGTGGTCCTTTACTCATGGTTCAGGTCGTCTTCATATTCCAGGAAGTTCTAGATACCCGCTGCTGGTGACCGATTTTGGTTGTCTTGTGGAAAATGTAAATGCTGGTCTACCGTAGTCTTCTTGCTTCGCGCTCAGACTCGAGGAGGGTTAGGAGGTCGCCTTCCCGGACTGGACCCTTGACGTTTCTGATGATTTGTCGATTTTGCTCACCCAGGAACTCGACTTTGACTTGTGTACATTGTCCCTGTGACCCAGTACGGCCCAGAACCTTGATTACACGAGCTAGGACGACAGGTTTGTCCATGACTTTTCACGTGGCTTCAAACACGCTTCGATCCAACAGCAAAAGGAAGCTTTCAGGAAACGAAAGAATGTCCACGCGTGCTAGTCAGCCACAGTCTAAAATGGTAAAGATGGCGGTTTCCGGTATGAGTTCCCATTGGTCCCAAGAAACGACGCACAGTCAGTCAATGGAGTATCCATTATTTAAATATTAAGTTAACTATGTACATTCTTACCAACTAGTTTCCCACCAATTACGTTGAAAACAAAACTTTAAATTATTCATCCGTATATCTATTTAATACCATTAATATAATTACTGTGAACAAAATAAACTTTTCAGTAACTCCATTCAAACAGTTAATCTATTTATGGCTAACATTGCTCTAAGTCGAAAAGCGTTAATAATAAAAATGATCTGTATACCACATTAATGATATGAAAATGCGCCCATTAAAAGGCGTAAATACATTATATAGTTTTTGATTTACCGAGAATGGTTCATCGATACGTAATAAGAGGTAGACAGTGTATTTCAATTCTAAATACTCTGATATCGTACAGATTAGTTTAATATATATTTTATAATTTTCTCGCATGTTCGATCTACACACTCACACTCTTATACAAACGCAGTTGTACAAATATTTATCGCGCGATAGGCATTATACATTTTGGAACCGACACCAATCATTAGATGTACACCTTAAGAGTGTGAAAATATGGGAAGCCGACAAGATTCCACATTCTTAGAAAAAGAATATCTCTCTCTCTCTCTTTATATGTATATATAATAAGACAGCTGCAGACTCGATTCGAATCGCTCCAGAATATATGTATAACAATTATAATTGTCTGTTTTCTTTACCCAATAACGCTTGCACATTGGTCATGATCATGGGTATGAAACAATCAATATTACACCCAAACGTCATATTATATTGAAGAATGTTGAAGAAATTGATTTACTTCGCCTCGAAATGCAAAGGTTATTGTGATGTTTGTACAAAAAAAGTGTTCACCAAACAACACCAGTAAATTTTCCCAAACGTAGGAATGTTAAATTTCAAAAGAAATCGTGATGATAATGCCAATAGAGATGCTAACAATAAAAGATACAATAATAATTAATAATAGCATTAATAATTATATAAATCACTAATTTAATACTAATCACATGTGGCGTTTTTTCACGGTGCATAAGTTTATTACCACTATAAACCGGGATGATTATTGCAATAATGATATTGCGAAATCCCTTGTACCGTGTCATAGAGATAATAACACATGGTGTATTTTTAATGATGAGCAATCGCAATGACAGTCCCGAAGTGACAGCAATGACAGCACCGTCATCAATTGTTTCACATTATAAAATAAATTGTATAATAATAGCTCAGCCAGTATGCACTACGGTCGAGTTACAATATAGTACATAGAGAACGCACGATGCTGATAACGTGTCAATGTAAAAAGAAAGACGAGGCCTCTGAGAAATATAAGTCTTTGACTTCATATAGTCGAAAAAAGGCGAGAAGCAGTACCGTCTAAAATAATACCATTACGTAAACTCGAATTATCCTTTACAGTAATTTATATAAATTGTTAAGAATTTTTTGGTTGCTCTTGGCGACAGTATCCTAGGAGCGACTTGTCCGTAGGTTTTTAATTTGATAAATATAGAAAAGAAGAAAAGTAAAGTACGCAGAATCAGTAATCGCACGCTGTTTCTTAAGACGGTTTTTTAAGTATCGGTGGTTCGTGTACGTGCAAAGATCACTAATTATTACAATCAAATTATATTCTCGTAGTCTATGATCCGTGCCGTGATTGTATCGCGTGTTAGTTATTTTATACGACTAGAGAGCGAAAAAAAGAAAAAAGAGAACAGAAAGAGAGAAAGAAGGAAAATTCGAAAATTTAACAGTGTCGCAACGCACGTTGTTCCTATTTGGAAACTCAAATTTTACATGAAACACAGGCAATTCTCTCACTGTCACAATCATTTATTACATTCGCTCACGTTTCGCACAAAACAATCTGTATCTTTATAATCGTGTGGCATGCGTTAAGGTCAGACGTAGAATAACGTAAACGCAGGCCTATCAAATCGTTACATTATAATGCACGCTTTTTAAGATTTCATTATTGGATAGGAGCCATATGCTAGAATTTGCTTGTCAAATGTGTGACAAGATGGAGGACAAGACGAACCGACACGCTATACATATAATTTTTTTCTCTCATACGTAATACAAGTGGGTATGAGAGACCAGGATAAGAAGTGTTATGACATTCCATATGGAACGACCTGTAGCAATACTAATGATGCTGACAGGTGATACAGGTACGTCAAATTGCGGAATATCGCAACCGTATTATCGATTATCCGCCTATCGTCCGACACTTATTTCCTGTAATTGTAATTTTTATTAAAAAGATTGGGATTAATAGGTCATTCCAGTAGAAAAATTCGATAATGGGAGCTGACGATTGTGGACAAATTATTGTCAAATTGTAAAATAGCCCTTTACTTTTCAAGCGCAGCCGTTTACAAGTCTTAATGTGGACGATCCTCGCGTGTCTCCTCGATAAAGGCGGATCTTCACGATGATTTACATTTTGTTTTTTCCTTTTTTAGTCGACGGACGGTATACTTATTCACTTTAATCGTTTTATTAATTCCTCTCAGTCTTCCTTTTGGTTTGACTATTACTTTCTTCTAATTATACGCAATCTGCTCTAATACTCGTACAGACTGCACAATGGATGCGAATTTATACAAATTTCCGAATTCTTATTGTAACCTGCGTCATCTTCCACATAAATTTTAAAAAGTACAGGTTTTCTACTGCTGCTGTGATGTAATAAAGTAGAGAATTATCTCTCTGTATTTCGACTGTGGAGGATACGATCATACGAGACGATGAAGTCTAAGAATTTATGACAATTCAGTAAAAACTTTTAATACAAGTTCATCATTTTGTAACTGAATCTTTTCGTTCTCTTATTTCCCTTTTGTTTTTCATAATACACTGTATATATGTGAAATAGGATGAATTGCATTGTACGGATTTATATCAGCGCGTATACAGTAACGCAGTATTTGTGTCAGAGGCGTATAATAAACCGGAATATTCTTTTTCAGGCACCAGGACTTCTGTTTTCGTGAACAGGTTATAAGGGAAACATGTTAATTGTCGAGAGATAAATACATTTCTTACTCGCCAGTGATCAGTATGACATACGTAATATACTGAATGAACAACAGGATATCAATTGCAGTTAGAAATAACCATAGTTCTTATATTCATAATTTTTAGAACAAATATATAAATTAATGTCTTGTTATGAATTCCTGTATTCTATCCGTCGACTGAAAATTCATTTTTTTGTACATTGCAATCGTCGAGTATTATTGCGTGCATCTTAAACGCACATCATAGACCTCGCATGAATAATCGGCAACACTGCGCGATTTAGGATATATTACTTAACCATTTTGAATAAGTGATGACGTACCATTTTACATGTACAACTCCAAGTACAGGGAAAGCTTGTAAGACTGAACTGAAGTTCTCACTCGTACGAATTGGTAGTTCGTAATTTTATTATATCGAAACGTATAATTTCTTTTTTTCTTTCAACAATATCAGAACGTAAATAGAGCCTCTAAAGTGGGAAACAACGTGCCATAACGACGGCACAACCCTTCGGGTTTCAAGACGGCGCAAGAGCATGCGCGTGTCATCTCTTATGAATATTATCGTAGCAGTTGCAATTCCTGGTTTTACCGACTTGCGCGACGTGCCATTTCTCTCTTCGTGCTCTCTCAAGGAAACCTTATAATATAAGTCAATGTCGAGATACAACTGTCCACACTAGTGTGCAACCTCGAACGGACCGGTCGATTAAATAACTAAGTCCAAAGAAATTGTTACTGCCACAGATTGGTCGAGAGAGTCTGTCCAGGTAGTGCGGTGGAAGCCGACTTTCCTGGTGCACTCGTAAAACCGGCCATTCCACCCAGTGATAATTGGGACATATGTTGCGGCAGCTGCAAGAAAACAATATAAGGAGGATTGTATGTGGAAATATTATGTATATATAATGTGTCGGGTTAAATTTTCATGGACATTATCTGGTAAAGAAATTGTTAAGCATTAGAGAATTATTTATATGATTAAGGTACACAAGTTGTTACCTGCGATGCAAAAGCAGTATTTTGCTGTTGCTGCTGCTGTTGAATTGCTAAGTTGAAAAAAGGATTGCTGCCCGGCGCTGGTTGAAGATTTTGAGCAGTTAACATACCGCTCCATCCATTGTTACTACCTACGTTACTCTGACCCAGCTGAATCATTTGTGGACCAGCGTTCGTTACAGTCTGCTGGTGCGCGAAATTATATTTTAATTCACACGGGATTATCAAAGCAGTATTGATTATCGACTAACTATCATACGAGTGAATTTACTAACCAATTGACTTGGCATTCCCAGACTGACATTTGGCAGTCCATTTATTTGATTGATTTGAGGCATGCCTATATTGTTTCCCAGCGGATTAGCTGGCATGGCGCCCAACTGAACATGATTTACACTGATTTGTCCAGGATTTACTGGCATTTGTGGTGCAACTGGCATTCCCATTTGTGTCTGGAGAGGGTGATTCAGTTGGCTAATGGAATTTGACTGGCTCGGGAAACAGTTTTGATGACCAAAAGCTGCCATGCCTGGCAATTGCTGTGTAAACTGTTGGGGTGTACTTTGTTGCGTATACATCCCACCTGAAAAACCAAGATCTCTTTAATATCTTTGATGGAAATTTAGTTGCACAGTATTTTCTTTAAACAAAACATACCAGGAACTCCGAATACTTGCTGCTGCTGACTGGGTGTTCCGTACAGCGCTAGAATACTATCTTTTGTCATCTTACTCTTCTCCTGAGGTGTGGGCGCTGGCTGATTAAAGAAACTTTCCTCTTCTGTTTTGCCTGCCATGCTGGTAGTATTTGTTATGCCGTTCGCTGCGCCATTTGCTGCTGGAGAAGCGGAAGCTGGTGGTGCAGATAGAAACGAGGAAAAGATATCGTCACTGGAACCGGAAGTGTTTGCACTTGTTTGACTTTCTGGAGCATCTATTGCGAACAGTTAATGTTATTATTATGAAATATGTTGTCGGTTGTGAAGGACATCGTCTGATGTAATGGAAGATCGGACACGCACCGAGACCAAGAAGATCCAAAGTGGCGGAATTATTCGCTCTTGAAGGTTTGGGACTGATGGAACTTCGTGGTTTCGGCAGCTGTGGTACCACTTCTGGTTTTTTAACAGGGGGAAGAACGCTCTGTCCGCTAGATGATTTTGAACCTTCCTTCTTACGTCTACGTTGACGTTCTGCTTCCTCATCTAACTCCTTATCCCAGTTTACTTTTGGTAAAGGTGGTGGCACCCATTCTCGTGCAATGTACTTCTTGTGCTCGTATTTCATTCGGATGAAACTTTCAAGACTACAGTCAGTTTGGGGTCTACGAAAGCGGTCTGGCAAATTCGCTTCATAAACTGCCCTTGCTCGAGAGTTACCCATTTGCTGCAGGCTCTAATAAAATAGAAAGAAAATTGCATAATCTGTAGACATGAATTTTTAATCATTTGTTGTATTACAAAATGTCTAAGTATTGTAACTTATATGCTTGATTGATACATAAAATTAGGTAAGCCATTGCTATGCCAGTTATTTTTCTATTTATAACTATCTTTGTAACAATGGTATGCTATGATTAATATTATTTCAATATAGTCAAGAGAATATGCGATACATTCAATGGAATGATGGGTGTAAACCCAGTGAAATAGATATGTATTGATACGAATTTACATACTGTTGAGTCATTGTATAGATAAGGAGGATAATATTCTGACCTTTTGTTTAAATAATTATTTATATGAATTTGAAATGTGGATGATCATAGAGGATAGATAAGAAAACAGCATCATAAGGATAGATATATTCCACGTTACTTTACTACAAAAGAAACCATACAGCTATTTCATTGAGTATAATAAATATACATACCACAACTTGTTCTGGTGTCCATGTGTCTAAATTGACAGATTTGACTTTGCTTATGTGAACCCCAAGTTTTCTGTGTATACCAGCACAGCGAATACACAAAAATATTCCAAGGTTCCAGCTGGCCCATCTTGGTCCTAAAAGTAAATAATCAGTCAGTTTCAAAGTTACAAATATGAAGTTCACAAAATAATATAAACTAAAGTCATATGATATACTTCAATATAGTATAATTTATCTTTATATATATATAAAAGTTATTTTTTTTAGAAAATACTTATCGTACATATAGATATTCCAGATGGATAATATAAGTAAAGTACAGTTTTTTGTAACACCTTTCATAATCATGAAGAATAAAACAACTAGATTAATTTAATTATAACTCAAAAATAAAGCATAAAATATAATTTAAAGGTAACAACATTGTTAAATCAATGAAGTTATTAAAATTTGGCACATAGGATAAAGTCAGAACAAAAGACCAAACAATGATAAGATACAATGCTAAGATTAGCATAGTATTAACATATCGGTGAAATTTCAAAATTTGTACAGTATTATACGAACAAATGTTTTATATTAATGAAATTGACTCCAAAATTAACATGCAAGAAGACAATGGAAAGTAATCGAAATGTCATACTGAAAAGAGCATAGAGAATATAACTTAGAACTAGATAGATATAAATATATGAAATAAACAGATTACTCTACTCAGAATGTAAACTCAGATTCAAGAATTCCATGAGAAAGGGTTGTACTTCAAGCGCGATGCCACTGCTATGCAAACACGTAGAACGAACAGAGTCGTGCGACGTTTCTTATCGTAACGGCTGTCACACTACGCGGAATTATTCGAAGGAAATGAAAATTCTATAAGTCACAAATAAGAAACTGGGTCGCAGTGGCTAAGAACAAATCAATAAACGAAGGATAGAATTCTTCTCCATATGATAAAGCATTTTTATCCCGGTATTCCTTCCGGTGATACTTACTGAGAATCTATCATAGGATGTGATGACTATTATACAAACCTTTAGCATCGCAGTCCACACAGTACTTATTGTCTTCATCCCGGAGCATTTGCGAGAGCAGGTTTTGACACTTATCCTGGATCTGTTTGGTACGCTCTTTTTCAAGGCGGGACGTCATTTTGACAGAATGTTTCTGGCAAACAATGATGATCGAACACACACGAACACCCCGAGAGGAGAATAGTTTTGTTCCCGACGCTCACCACTTCTCAGCAGAAGCAATGGCCACGAAGTGCCACCTAACGAAGCACGATCTAGGAAGAACAAGGTGCGCCCATCATTCAGATAAATTTATGTAGTTTGGCGCAACAATAGTCTAAAGGTTCGTCACTTTGATAATACTCCGGGATATCCAATCACGATGAACGATATAGGGATTTCAACTCTTGGTGTAGTAGATTTATGTGGCGGCGTAGTGACAAATAATCTCACTAGGATTGAGCGGCAAGTTTAAATGAGAAATTGAAATGAGATCACGTATTGACGTATAGTATGGACTTCGCATAGCAGACATAGGATAGATGGTCGGCTGAAAGAAAAAGATAGCGACTGATTGCGACCAAGCCCTGTCTCTTTCTAATCAGCAACCGTAATACGAAAGTATAAAAAAAGTAGTCAATAAGAGGATTAGAAATAGAGAGCAACTGGCCACCACCTCATTTCCTCTTTGTTTATTTGAACGGTCACTTTTTCAAAGGATTTGAAGTAAGGATCGCGTAGTCCATACTATATGTCGATGGGATTACAATTCCTTTCCCCAAATCAGAATTCAATGCTTTCAAATTTCCAGTCTGTTATTAAGGCATAAGTAAGATATACTCTAAACCAAGCGGGGAAAGCTTTCTAGCCCGTATGCGTGCATAAATATATGAGCCACAAAGAATGTAGACATGGATCATTTGTTTATTGTTACCGTAACCGAGTGACAGTTTCTAAAGAACTCACTCCCGGTAATAATTCGAATCATTCGAGAGGATCGAAGGGCGAACGGAATGTTGGGTTCAGCGGTGACGTGGCTATGTGGTTTCCACATAAACTAAGGATAGAGTGTGCATAAGTTCTTTGTGCGTAAGAACAAGACCCTAGATCTTGGGTCCGACAGCGGGGCGCCACAAGGTCATCCTCCACCATGCTTCCTCCACAAAGGGTAGTATTATATGAATGTGAATGAGTGCGTATGCATGCATATAGAGGTACAGAGGATTGTATCTTTCAAGATCCAAGAGGGCAGTTCGATTTCTGGTCTTGAAGGGTTTTACTTCGAGTGTATATCGTGGAGTCAATTAGCTACATTCAGTCATAGATATGTTATAATTAAAGTAAATCAAGTTATTTATAGTACTCTGCAAGAGCATTTGCATTTTTATTTTTAAAGTCTTTACACAATTTGAAAATACATAACATCATCGCACCAGAAATCAATTTCATTACAGAGGATTGAATACCGTTTCATTACTCATCAGAGGTTTGATGGATAATGAACAATGAACCCACATCGCCAGATTCGCGCAGTCGAATCTACCGTGAAAACAATATTGGCGACGCTCAGGATGTCACAGCTTTATTTCTGGTTATTTTTTCTGTCTAGGAGAAAAATGGTGCTCCGTCGGCTATTGCAAACATTAGAGTAAAGTATTTATTTAACTAGTGGTTGTGTTCTTGTTAACTGCGGTATTGAAGTCTTCGGATTCTGTGGGAATTTTTGCGGCGTGTGCTGAATCCATTTTACATATTTATGCGTTGGGATTATCGGAATTGTTTGAAAATGTCATCTTTCAGGAATTGTGCGGAATTTAACAATAGCGCAGTATAGCTACCTTTGATGTAAGCATGGTCTTATATGTATTCAAGGTCTGGGCTGGGTTGGTCACTTCACGCATTTACCTACGTGAAGTTAGCACCGTAACATGTAGTTTTTGAATTTTTTCTTTTACTAAAAAATTGTTGGTTTTTGTTGGAACAATCAGAAAATTTGTTAGTTGCTCATTTTTTTTGAAAATGGAAAATACAATTTGGAATGTGAAATTAGCCCCAAAAGCCTTTTTTTCACAAAAAAAACTTTTTTTATGTGCAATTGACACCAAATTTTTTGTTGGTCACGAATTACTAAATTAAAAAATTTTATGGTAAGCGGTTTCATTGAAAACGAAACAAAACCATTCCTGGACAAGGAGGGCGGCCATACCGCGTGGCTGTGAACTGGGCTCCATACATCTAATGCATGCATATTTCTCAATTAAAATCATCCGCAGAAGTGAGCAAGGACTTAATTGATACTACATTTTTTGTTGCCCACGAATTACTTAATTAAAAAATTGGTTGGTAATCGATTATGTTGAAAACGAAACAAAACGATTCCCGGACAACTGTGAACTGGGCTCGAATGATCTTATTACAAAATTTATTGGTAAGCGGTTGCGTTGAAAAAAATAATACCATACGCGCACCTGCGCACGCCAGCTCATAGATTTCATTATTACTGAAATTATCTATTCAGTTCAGAGTTAAGGTTAATGCGGTGTTTCACCAGTGTATGTAAAAAAGGTAATTCGTGACCAACAACAAATTTGGCATCGATTAAGTCCTTGCCCACTTCTGCGAATAATTTTAATTGAGAAATATGCATGCATTAAATCTATGGAGTCCAATTCACAGCCACGCGGCATGGCCGCCCTCCTTGTCTGGGAATGGTTTTGTTTCGTTTTTAACGAAACCGCTTACCAATAAATATTTTAATTAGGTAATTCATGACCAACAAAAAATTTGGCATCGATTGCACAAAAAAAAAAGTTATTTTTGTGAAAAATAAAGCTTTTGGGGCTAACTTCACATTCCAAATTTTATTTTCCATTTTCCAAAAAAATAAGTAAACGACAAATTTTCTGATTGTTCAGAAACTCAGAAAAACAAAAAACTTTTTAACAAAAGAAAAAATTCAAAAAGCACATATTACATTTCACGTCTCCGAAGCGTAACCCTAATGACCACTAATGACTGAATGTTTCCCCTTTTGGTCACTGTTGCGTTAGTGTGGGAGGAGTCTAGGTCCGTACCACGATCTTGTATACAGGTCTGGGCACTTCCCTATCCTTTCTTCCTTTCCTTATGGCTGTATCCCCAATGGGGGACATGTGCCAGTAACTGGTCCTAATAATCAAGGTTGGAAGTTCGACAATCATCGACAATAGATGGCGATGTACCCTGCGAGACGGGCCTTATTCAACTCAGCGTAAGAGGACCTACAAAGTTTATACACCGAATTCGAACAGTGTTGGGCGAAATCCGTATAAATACTCACTTAAGTTTTCATATGAAAACCCATTGGTGAATGCCGCTGGAAGCTGGGCACGAACCTCCAACCTTTCGGTCGTTAATCCGCTACCTAAACTACCGGATTACGGCTGCCATGCGCTAGAGTATAGTTATAATTAACCGCTACAAAAAAGATTCGAAAGAATATACAAATTTTGTACTATAATATGTAATTTCTTGATGTTTTATAATAATGATTTATAAAATATATAAAGCGATAACCAATTTGGACCATGAGTGATTGTGAATTACATAACAAGTTTTATCGTGTCTCTGTAACATCCAAACACTTGTTATTGTACTTAATCACATATCCAAGTTTAGAAATAATTACAATTAGAGTATTCCTGAAAAAAATATATAAATGTTTTATTCGTTATTTAATGTTTATAAAATTCGGCTTGTTTCCCCTCTGAGAAACTTGGTGCCTACGCATTCTTAAACAATAACGCATGGTGTATGCGAGCAAACTACTAGCATGTTCCGGTGTGCAATGGAATGAGAAGTGATATGAACTTAACATATTATCAATCGTATGATTATAAATATCAGGAAAATTATAATTTTGGATATAAGGATTCTAAAGTATGTAACATTTTGAGAAACACTTTCTTGGGGTGAATCAACCTTCCATGAGTCTTTAAATTGACTAACTCTGAGCTTGCATCTTGAGAGTAGCAATGTTTACTGCAGCCATTAGAAACCATTGGAAAGAAATCTGTGATCAAGTACCAATTGTCTTAAACATATGTAACTATCGGGAGTGTGAACCTGTTACATATTATACAAGATAGTCAATAACTGGTGCAAGGGTGTAATCGTGATCTGTAATTCCGACTTCTTCCCATTCTTTTTGTTGGATCAGCGAATCAACTGTTGCCTTAATCTCCACGACGTTATTAACTTTCTCCAACTTGTAGATATTTTTTAAATTAGAAACAGTGACTAGAATGTTTGAAGTTTTTTGTTCAGTAACTGTGCAATTTCCGAACTCTGGCGGTTTCAAGATACTGTAACTTGAGAAGAGTTTGTATAACTGAAGAAATGTCGGCGTAGCAGGGTGACCGAATAGTGGTAAAAAAATTGCTGAAATAAACATATAATCGCGAATGTTACTGGAGCAAAGCATCAAGGCTGCAACGATTATACCTCGAATGCATCTTGATTAATTTTTCCGATTAAAAAATATTCGAATTGAAATTTGTCTCGCATATAAGTGCACGTTTCAATAGTCACCTGCAAAGTAACGCGAAGCTCTTCCATAGTGCTATCACTTAGGAACTTATTTTTAAATTCGTGTCAATCCATTTCTTTCCCAGTTCTTCATTTTTTAGCAAATAAAATAAGGATATTCGCTCCTTATTACTTTCGTATCCGCTTTTACATTTCAGCACTATACACTTTCGAGTCATTTTAAACCTAATACACTTTTCCTATACGACGTTTTAGAAGACCGGAAAAATGATAAATGTTTGTTTCCTCCGACGTTAATCAAAGTTTAAATTCTGGTTACCCTATCTTAAAACTATATTTAAAAAATTAAACCAGGCTTAAACCACGTCGGAGGAAACGGGCAAAAGTTGACAACAAACAACAATTAGAATAAGCAGATTTAGATAGGTTATGGTTAGAGGTGGATGAAATAAACTGAGCGTTGCGCATGCGTACAATCAAGCTTCTCTGATAGTAGCGCCTCATATTCTGAACTAAAATCTGGAATCCCAAACGGCACGTTCATTTTTGCTAAGTGCTCAGCCACGGTCCTGTCCAGACCAGCCCAGACGTGTATATGAAACCATGGATGTAAGTGCAATTACAAGTGTCGTTAACTTTGAAAGAAATACGTGTTTGAAGAATAGTGAAGAGGTTAGATCATGCTAATGTATTTTTATTTATATGTAATACGCAATATTCGGATTTAATTTAAAAATGATCTAAAGGATGTATCCAATTTTATTAATTTTAGAATGAACATCTGAAAATGGAAAAGCTTAAGGAGTCCTTCCTGCTGCTAAAGAAGAAAATGTGCAGATCACAGTAAGTTAAGATATTTGAAATAAAATTTATGCATAACAAAAATTACGTTGAGTTTTTATTCATAATGATACTATTTGTTCGAGCATATAAACCTTTGCAGAACTCAATTTGCCATTATAGGAAATGTTAAAATAAATTTAACAAAAATTCATAATAGTGGATTTAGTGATTTAGATAGATAATAGTGTGTAGTAATTTACAACAAAATACAAGATACATGTAAACAAAGTAGCGTTAATATCCATAACAGTACTATAGTCTGAATCATTTGTTACTAGTAGGATACTATTAAAAGGATATAATAATATAAAATTGTTATTTTTTTTTTAGCGATTTAATACAGCAATATAATGATAAGTTGAAAGAATGTGAACGCTTAAAGATAGAGTTGGATACAATAAAAGAAGAAGCAAGCAAAATAAAACGCAATTACAATAATTCATTAGCCAAAGTTATAAAATTGGAACTTGTAAGTTTTATACAAATCAAGTTATATTTACTTATTACAAATGGTACTTGTCATTATGTTTACCTATTTGTTTTTTCTTATTACATGTTATTTTTATAATTAGCAAAATACAGATTTTAAGAAGAATATTGAAATCTTAACAAATACAATATCTTCATATGAAACAACAGTTGCTGGTGATCAAAAATATTCACAACAACTGGTATGCAAAATGACAGACATGGAAGAAAAACATTCAGAGAAGATAATGGAAATTGAATTAGAAAAGTCTGCATTACAAGGTAAGAGCATAAAATCATTTTCACTGTGCTTAATATCAATGCAAAGAATTGTATAAGTAATTTATATGTGTTTAGTTAAAGTAAAAGGTTTGGAACAAGAAATAAAGGCTATCAAGAAAGCACATGAAACAGAACTGAAGAAAAAAGATAAAAAAATATCTCAGGGAGAAGAGACAAAGAAGAAAATGAAAATACAATCACCACCATCATTAGTGTTACCACCATCTGCAGGTAAACTTAACAAAAATCTTATAATTCTTATATTCAGTATCAGTTAAATTATGACATTACAATTATAATCTCTGTATCCTGTGATGTTCTGATTATTGTTTACTCTTCTTTAGTAATCAAAACAATGCGAGATGTGGCAGTAAATACAACTCCTATAGAACTAACTAAACACATTAATACAATGGAGCAGTGCATACAAACAAACGAATTTAATGGAAACAAAAATAATCCATATGCTTTGTTTTGTGATAATTGTGAAAAGATGTTCGATTCCCCACCGTATCATAAAATATGCAACATAATGACTAAATGCCCACCACTAATTACAAAATTGACTTCACTCTCACAAATCTCTGGTAAGTATAATCAGAAAAAAGTGTCTATCATGTTTCCTGAATGATAATAAATATATTTATTTTTCAGAAACAAATAAGCAAAACGCTCAATGTACTTTAACGCCAATGGCAGTTAAACGTAAAATTCTAAGTCCAGAAACTTCTCAGTCACAGCTTAGTCCCAAAACCGAAAGACAGAACGATTCAACTTCGGTTATAGAGATGTTACAAAAGAAAATTGAATGTTTAGAGCGCCAAATGAAAAGACATGCTAAAAAAAGTGCACGAACGCCAACCGACTGTTGTAGTCATCATCATCCTACATATTATCCACCTAATTCATTTCCGGGTTTCTCTCAGCAAGATGTTTTTTCTCAATTTTGGAAAAGAATATTAGAATTCAGCGAACAACAAGCGTCTGAATCTCAAACGCAAATTCGTGGTCAAAAGAGAAAACAGGGCAAACTGCAATGTGTTACTAAAATAATACCAAAAAAAAGACGAAAGGCCTTAAAATCTTCACGTAAATGGATAGTAGAGTCTGTAACACCGAAAAATGAAGATGAAGAGTCTGATAGTAGCATGGCTTCCACGTCAAATCAAAGATCGTCTGTCAACAAGTCTCAGACCGCATGTACGCCGTTATTATCTGATAATGTATTGAGAAAAACTGATAAGGATATTGATGATGAACTGGTAATGATAGAAAAGGAAAAACCTAATAGTCGGGATTCATTAGAAACTGAGGCAATAATGTGCCAAAATGATGTGTTGAAAGTGCAGACTAATTTAAACACCTCTAATTTGGTAAAGTGTGATTCAGTTTTGACTAATAATAATGACTTATCATCAGACGTAACTTATGTGTGTAGTAAGAGACAGAAAGTATTATTACCGGAAAATCAAGAAATTGATAACGAATCTGTCACATCATTTCCGTCTGGAAATACCGAAGTCATTTTCAAAATGTTGGAAGATTCCGAGAAACAAAGTGCAAAAGGAAACAATATAGTGGAGTTCTTATTGAAAAATGAGAATGGTTTAGACGCGAATAATACCAGCAATCTGTTATCACATCAAACAAATTTACAAGATAATTTAACATATGAATCCATGCCAAAAATATTAAGTATAGAGGATGAAAATGTCAATAAAGATTCGAAAATGTCTGAGAGCAATTCTGATTTGAACGAATCTCCTACTGGTAGATCTACACCGTATATACTTGATGAACTAGCAATTAATCCTAGTAATGACAGTATAAAAAATACTGTTTCATCTTGTCAATTAGAATGTCAGGATAGTTGTACACTTCCTGTTAAAAGAATTCAGTCGAAGACAAGTTTGCTGGATGTTCAAGAAACGAATACGGCAAACATTAATTTTTCAAAATCGCCGTCAAATATGACGGTCAAAAGTTTCGCATCCATTACTCGCTTATTTCCTGTCACTATAAGGGATATTTATAGTGATACGAAAGTACCAGAGAAAACTGGCTCTAATATCACAAGAACAATGCAAGATGTTGACTCTAATAATTCAAAAATGATATCACAAACTTTTACCAAAACTGGTGAAGTGCCTGATGCATCCACTAATCTAGAAGATATACAAGGTAAAATCGAATTACCTGAAAATCATGAAAAATTATCTGAATCTGGAACTATAACTAGCAGACAAGCGCATGTCATATATTCTGCTGAAACAAATTTGCAGAAATGCAATCAGTCAGAAATGTGTTATGATAGTACGTCATTAGTCGTAGATGTAATGTATACAAATGATAGTGATTCATCAATAACTGAAAGTGACTTTTCATCTCATAACGAGATTGCAATAAATAGCATTGATCGGTCACCAACTGATAAGTCACTTAAGAATATTGCATCTATTGAGAAGCGTGATGATTATTTAATTAACCAACATCATGAAATCAGTGTTAACCTGTCTGAACCTACATTAGCAGCTTTGAGAAAACGAAAACGAATAATTTCTCCAAGAAAAGCTAGCTTAAGGAATGCTGCTTTGTTTGGAGATGACTCATTTGATGATGAACCACCACCTGCTTGTAAACTTCAAGCAATATCTCGCTTGCGAGGTAATCAAGAAACTGATAAAGACCCAAAGAAGATGTCTGATCTTGAGGTGGCTGAAGACAAAGACATGATTGTAGAAGAATTTGAAAAACCAATTGAGGCTTTCGCAACAAATTCTGAAGTACTCACTAGTAATAAAAAGAACAAACAATTAGAATTCTATAAAGAATCTTTAAAAACGATTGCTTGTCTAAATTGTATATCTGGTGTGCATAAAGATAGTCCAGTTGCTTTGCTTAGTAAGCATCTTGAAATGCAATTGGAACAAAAACAAAAAGGAATATCTGAGAAGAAGAGCCGAACAACAAAACGCGAAGCTTATGGTATGATTCTTATTTATATATATATATAAAAATTAAATAGTTTTCGATTATAAATGCGTAAACTTAATGCTTAGTGAGTTATTATGTAATTTTTTATTTGGTTTCAGAAATGTTTGTTACTGCACAATTGAATGCACTTGCCAAGTGTGATGATTCAATGAACGTTTCAATTTATGCAGTGATTGAAAAACTTTCTCAATCCTACCGATCACGTTCTGTAGCAAAGTTAGTATTATATTACGAACAAAAGTATTTTTTACTCTTATATGAATATCACTTTTTTTTTAGATGCGTTGTAAATTTTCTGTGCGAAACAGCCAAAGATGATGAGCTATTAGACAGAACGTACACACCTCCGGCTCCTCTTATGACAAAAGTACAACAAAAAATAGTAATGTTGCTGGTCAGCTTAAAACGTATAGATCCTTCAATTTTCAATATGATTCAAACCGGTATTGAATACAAAATCTTCAGGCTGGGTCATGCTCCAGAGGTTCGAATGTGTCATTACCTTTTATTTAGATAATTAACTGCTCTTATTTTTCGTTACAATTTTCGATTTCATTATGTAGGTCAACATTATAGAAACGTTGGTCCGTGTATATACAGTATTATCACGTATCGCTAAAGATCGAGAGAAAGTCCGAATTTTATGCTGTGACGCCCTTTATTGTTTACGTCTGAAAGCAATACCAATAATTTATGTTGCGCTCACGTGTTGGCCCGAAGTATTTCCAACATGTGTTGAACATCAGGGTAAATTAACATGAGTATTCCACATAGTGTATAAAGTGAACTTACAAGTTTTGTTCTATATATGTATTTTTTTTAATTGTTCTTAAAAAAGATTATTGATTTCAGATATTTTACCAAAATGCATAGCGCACCTGGTATTATCACAACAAGCCACTGGAAAATTTCCAAGACTCGTGTCAACTAAGAATTTATTCACAACTTATTATAAATGTCCAAAGGCTGGTTATCTGTCTACTGACCTGGCAATACAGTTCTTAACTGCTCTACAAGGTACATCGTCCTTTGTCTCTTCTGCATAAAACTTTGGAAACTCATTTCTTGGAGCATTTTTCAGAAACAAGACACAGTGGTTTGAATACAGCTATAATACTTCTATCCAAGAGAGAAGGTACTACTTGGGCATATAAGCACATAGTTCGCGGTGGTCTTCTGCAGATGATTGTCAACAATAATCATCCATCAAGTTATGAAGCCTTTTATTTACTTGGTGAGTTCTGAAAGATGTTAATTATCATTAGATCTAAGATTCAAATTGTTGTTTTCTTTCTCAGGAAAGATAATGCGATCTTTCCCGATAAAAGACGACGGCACTGTAGGTGACATTGTGGAACAATTATGTGACCTCATTGATTCTGGCAAAGGTATAATTCTTCAATGGAAAGTGGTTTGTGCCTCAATATAATATTAATTGAATTACCGGTTCGCAGTAACGCATGAACAAGAGGAGGGCGTTGTGTCAGCTTTGTTGAGTTTGGCGCGACACAAGTTTACTGAAGTGGCCACTTCAGTACTGAAATGGAAGCCAAGTAAACCATTGCGACCAAGAACTGTGGAGCAGCTACAGATATTTTACTCTATTCATCCAGTACAGTGGTGGGCAAGGTTCATAAAAGGTCATAGCGCAGCTATTGGAAAGATGATACAGTGAATTCATTACTTACCTGTATAATATTAATAGTAATATTAACCCATCTTGTGATATCTACTGTGTACAATGTAACTTAGTTTTTTTTAAATTATCTTTCACATTTTTTCTCAAAACTGAAACTTTCAATAAATGCGAATTTTTTCTTTCTTACTTCTCTCTCTTATTGCTTTTGCATACATCCAAATCTTTGTTACAGCAGTTCCTATTTAATTCTTGTAAAGAATTTAAGCTATATTTTTAGTTCAATATCGTAAAGTTCGAAATAATTAATTCTCTGATTCAACAATTATACATCAACATCATCTCAATGTAATATGTGAACAGTGGTGCATTACAGTTTTTTGAAACGGATAAAGGTGTAAATTGTTATGTTCAAATTTATAAAGTATATACTGGTAGTCTGATGATAATAAGATATGAAACGCCACGAAAGGCGGCATCAGTCGACTCGGCTAGATGAATATTCACCACGGTTTTGGTCTATTGCATGGCCAAGATCATTGGCCTGCGTTCAGGATAACATTCATTAGCGTTTTATAACGAACGTTAAACAGTAATTACCTGCTGTGCAACCAGCAAAGTAGTGGTATGGGGATCAATGTACGATAAGTAAATAAGATGGCAATGTTTATGCTATTAAACATTTTCAGCAGAAACAAGATTACAGATTTTTGTTTCTTTTAATATAATATAATAATAATAATAATAATAATAATAATAATAATAATCAACATATTCATAAGCTTCCATACGCAGAGCACACTAGTTAATAATACATGTACATAGTTTTCTTTACAAAAATAATTAACAATGTTTCGATGCAACATTGCCAATCGGTGATACTCCTAGCTAGACAATATTTAGCAACTTCCTTTGGATTTACTTTTTTAATTACTATTTATTTATCAGTTAAATGATGTTGTGTCTTTGGTACATTTACAACGGACAAAGCACCGCAAGTACGGATTTGGTATGTCGAACGTGGTACCAACCATCCGCCGACGTAGAGGTCGTATGCCAAGAGATACAAGAAAGGTCATTTTTTATTTCGAAGAAGGCGCATTTTCACGTTGACGCAATTTGACACAATCGTGCATGACTTCTCGGGCGGTGAACAGATCTAGGGTCGCCCTGGTGTCTGTCCAGCAACAGTCGGGTATCCAAATTTTAATCTTGCATGAATGTCTCAGTCATTGTTAACACGTGAACCGGCGTCGTTCTTCAAGTCCAAGAAGGCAAATAGAGAATTCGTCTTGTTCTAATCCACCGCTTTTCATTTCCTTCCATTCTCCCTTGCTCCATTCTCGCAAATACGTACGGCGCTGTCTGATGTACTAAAATGCCACCACTTGCCTTCGTAAATTGGTCACTACTATTATTTAAATTCATCATAGGTGCTATGATTTCAGTGACGGTTACGAAATAATTGTGTAAGGGTTCCCTTCGTTTCTTACTGTCGAACGTCGTTATTGGACGAGTTTACGGAAAGTGTTTCAGAGTAGAAAACAAAGTTCAAACTCTGGCTCTGCAGGTCACACATACGCGCGCACACACACACACACACACACACAAGCACTCATCGTGAAACATACAATAGGTACATACTCTCCTTCTTTGTTCAATCAGCCAAACGCACACACACACACACACAGTCAATCATCCATCAACACAAGCACACGATTGAGAATGTGTGCGTACCTACGCAATGTATATAACGTAACAGGCATAAATACATGTGAGCACGCACACAACCACAATATATCTCATTCATGTAATACACATGCCCATCGCACACTATATAGTGTCCTTATTATGCAGGGAATAATAATAATTAATAATTGAATAATAATAATTATTAATAATAACCAATAATAAATTAGGAACCAAGTACAATATAAAGTATGATGGGAAATTAAATAAGAAATACAATATTTTTGTTAGCTACGACTATTTATAAACCTTAGTAAATAACGATTCGTTCCTTTTTTTGTTTTTATCAGCGTCCTTGGACCCCGTTACTTACGCATCGTATCTGCTCGCGCTTTCTCTCTCTCTCTCTCTCTCTCTCTCTCTCTCTCTCTCTCTCTCTCTCTCTCTCTCACACACACACACACACACCACTCTCTCTGTTAGCTCTTAATAATACAGCTAATTAAATACTGGGGAAAAATCATTTACCGATCGATTACGAGCTACGTTACGAATTGATAATTACGTGATAATCTAAAAGAAGCAGGGTGAGGTAGGAAAAGGTCAATAGATTAGTGACGAAAGCAGGAATAATGGAGGTCAGAGAGTCTCTGGCAGACAAGGGATGGATTGGGGAGATAAGGAGAAAAACCAGGAAAGGATGGGATTTATGTGGAAGAATAGTAATGCTTCGAGTATCTACAAATATACAAATCATCATTGGATACCATTTTCTTTTTCTACTTAATAATCCATTTGCACGGATACGAATGAACGATCGGATTCCGATTAAAGTGCGCAATTTGTGTCTTGATTAGCAAGGACGTCGCGACGTCATTACGTCATAACGTCTGTGTGGCTTTCGGTAGCCCCGAACAATTCTTTTTTGTCTCTTTTTATTTGCTTTCTTCTTACTATTTACACAAAGGAAAACTGAGTCCGCTAACGAACTCGTTCAAACACCTTATAAAACGTTTCATGATTCGACATGTCCCTGGTCATCTGATGATCATTCACGACCGTCATTTTTAAATCAGCTGATCAAATCGTGGATGATCCGGCACACCCTATTGTGAACTCTTTTAAATAACGCATTGTGGTTAATAGCAAAAGTGGCAACAGAAACGTGGTATTCGCGATGCCAGCCAGCCAGCCATCCAGCCAGCCAACTAGATGGACAAACAAGCAGCCCGTGAGTCATTTTTTTTACAGGACGCCGGTTGACAAAACTCTCGGGACAGTTCGGTACTCGAGATTAGTCGATCCCGCGAACACGACCATGTCGAAACGATCGACCGTATCCCGATGTTTCGGTGCTTCCATAGACGCGTGAAGAAACATTGGACGCATATTGACATTGTCGATCGTTACATCCTAAGTTTGTCATTTGTGTCCGTTTTTTCAATTAATCTTAATTGACTGTTTGGCGCGTAATAAGAAGATAGCGTGCGATGAACAGGAACACGTCAAACAATGAAACACGCAACGAATGGCTGAGAGAAATAATACTGGAGCTAACTGGCCAAGCCTCGCGTTAACTGACAAGCGAGAAGAAAAAGTGATTTTAATAAAATAAAAATGATTATCTCGACAAGATTGCTTTTGAAAATTTGTATCTTTGCATCTTCGTGACCTTTTGAGTGTATCGCTAATATGATTAATGAGGACAATCACGTCGTAGACGAGGTGATTTAATTAGAAAAAAAAAAAAACGATTATTTCGATATTGATTACTCTTGAAAATATATATCTTTCGTGACCTTCAGGGCGTACCGCTAAGTTTACCGCCATTATGATTAACAAGGATAGGATAATCAAGTCGTAGAAGAGAAACTCAATATCAGATTCTCAGCATTGAGACTAATGCGATCCACGATAATTATCGATACGGAATCGTAATAAATTATATCCACTTTTCACTTTATTTAATCGTCTTTAAATTCTCTTATCGCTTATTCACTTCTTACGCGTTACCTTAGCCAAAACGCACGCGCTCGTGAGCGCGCAGGCTCAGGTATTGAAGGATCGCGTATCTAAACAAGGATAGTGTCCTAGTCAGTGACAAAGAAAGAAACTGTGAATACATAGAAAAGTCCGTACGCACTTTTTCTCGAAATTTTGAACGTTCGCTTGTCGAAGACGTAGAAGACACGACGACGTCGATACGTTCGAAGATAAGGCCTCGAGCCTCCATTTTCGCATTACCTGCTATTACTACCTACGTATAGCAGATATGTATCGGCACAACCATCGTGAAAGGTCAGTATCGACATAAGGTGCTTGATGTCGCTGCTTAGCGATGTATTTCTTTTGAATTTCGCTCCCGTCCAGGGGTTGAACTTACTGGGACGAACGTTTACTCTCGTCGTTAGGCGTCATCCTCGTTGTCTCTGGCTGCGGATAAACCCATTCTGGCATTCGCGTTTGTTCTATCGAGGAATTGAGCGTCTGCTGAAAAACAGTTAAAGCTCTAAGATTGCTGCTAAGAGTCCAAATGTATGTGATATGTTTATTGAGCGTGAATGCTTGACGCACAAGACTGCAGATTTCTTACCGATGCATTTGGATTCTTAGCCATGAAGATCATAAGCGAACGGTTTCGATTACTGAACGGCCTCAGCTCTGGATCTCGGCCAGGTCCGTCCACAGTGTCGACACCGCAATTACTGTATATAAAAAAAAAATGGTTTAAATTGATAAGACAAGATAAAATGGTTTAAATTACTGGTCTATCCCGGGAAAATCTGATAATTACCTTGTACGCAATTCTTTCTGTTTGCGTTTACAATGGATATACGCGGCTATGCAAATAATGACCACCAAGAATACTGCTATCGTGGCGCCACCGGCAATACTGGCAGTCTCCAACATTACTCGTTGTCGTGAAGCTACATATTAAAAAAAAAAATATATAGTATATTGTCTTCGAGAAATAATAAATATATGACGCAATATTAGTATACGCATGATTATAAAATATAATTATTATATCATTATGAGATCAACGTACTAGCGGTACATTAAACTTTTTGATAACGCATAATAATGAAATCAACAGGTTTCGAAGTTATAGCAAACAGTTTTGAGCTCCGTGGATACTTACGTAAATAGGAACCATCCAAATCCTTGAATTCACACCTCTGCCCTATGTAACCATTGGCACATCTGCAAGTAAAAAAGCAAGGTGTAGAATTACTGATATCACTGACTAAACTGATAACAATGTTTGCACTGTAGAAGCAAGTGTAACATAAGTTCAAGGGATGTACTGTTATCATTAGTTGTTGGTATTTAAAAAAGAAAAAAACTTGAGATAGGCATAGAAGAGTACAACCTCGTTATCAAACCTTCAGAGACGTTCGCGTGCACTAAATTTTATTACGCTCAACGTCCTCCATAAACAAATTAATTAGTCTCCTGATACAATTAGTGAGATTCAAGATGCAGAATCGACTCTCGTTACGAGGATACGGTCCAGCAATGAACCGCGAAATATGTGTCGATGCAATCTTGCGTAAACTTACTGGTATAAAATTACTTTAATAATTTATTAAGATTTCTTAATTATCGTCACGATTTTACACATGATATTCTTCCTATAGTATGGTTTCACGATCGGTATCGGCTGCTCGGCTTAATCTTCCCGGGCTGTGGGCAAGAAGACCCGAGTCAAGTCGAGAACAGTCGAGTCAAGTCGAAACCGACCGAGTGCAACCGAATGGAGTCGAGGGTAGACGAAGAGAATACGTACGGACCGCACCGTCCGGTAGAATGCCGTGGGAAGCGTATCGTCAGAATTTTCTCAGAAAGAGAGCAAAACCGAAGATAAAAGTGGAACGAGCCGAAGGATCACCCGTGGCGATTGTCGGCATTTTACACTTTTTCTCCTGTGATCGAGCCAAGCAAAGGGAGGGAGACGACGACCAGGAGTGTGTGTGGCTGGAGGGATGGAGGGAGGGGGTTGATCGTCATCCCTTAGACCTCTACTGGAATTTCGGCGAACGTGTTCTCTTGGCAAACCCGAGGATTAGCGCACAATGTTGTCTCTCTGAAAACTCGCCCTCGTCTATATATCCAACGCGGGTGCACAATGATAATTATTCCAGTGAAGAACCGACTGAACGACCGACCCGTACGACCACCAGCTAGAGGAGGGCCCAGAGAGACTACCAACGGCGCGACGATTTACCACACGCTTAGGGAAGCTGAAGGCTTTTATTTTCCTTCTTCTTCTTTTTTTTTAATACCAGGAATTCGAAAGATTCCAAAAATTAGTCGCACTCTTTCTTGCCGCAACATATACCTCGCCCTCTGTATTCTTGTACACAGCACAAAAAATGTTTTGTCTACCACGTCGTACAGTGGATTTGAAATATTTCTCAAGATTAACTCGAGGAATCATCAATTACAAGTATCTGTTTGTAAGGACCTTCGGGAGATGCAACTTCACGAATCCAACAAATAGAGCAATGGGCAAGAGGTGCTCGTTGCGGCTTCCATTTTCCCACGGTGTTTGCTTTGTTCACCGCAGTATCAGGTTAGATCGGGACAGAAGTTTTTCCTTGAGCTAAGAACAGATCACTGCGCCTCGAATTTTTCTTTTGCTTTCGACAGAAACAAAACAAGCTCGTTTTGCGATAACATTGTTTATGTTTCTTGTGAACAGTCCCAATATAGGGACCATTAGGGATAATTTAATATAATAACCAGGAGTCAAAATTTTGAAGTATTTTCTTAAAAGTATATTCACGTTGCATATATTTAAAGATCTTTCCAATTATCCCAGAACGCTTAATATCGTGGATGGTCAGTAAACCTATAGAAATAAAATTCTACGCCATTGCAAGTCACGCACCGTAGACTGTCTCTACGTGTCGTCGTGGTACCGTCGTAACTTGAGCATTGTTCTATCAGACGCCAGACGCGAACTAATCCGACTGAGAGTGACTTCACAAAAATACAAATTGATATAAGTGAATCATAAATCGAAAAGCGCCACCACAAAAAGTCATCCGTAGATCCTGAAGTTTATTGAAATATTGATATCATACCGAGTAACATCGGCGTAAGCAAGCGATATTGAAAATTGTGCAAAACGTCTATTCTTGAATATCATGCGTGCAGTAACGTCTGCACGGGAATTGGCAGTGAGCTATGCGCCAGAGCAGGACTGAGGTGTCAAGTGCTAGGAGGAGTATTTGCTGTTGCGAGAAAACAGGGCGAATGCGTCATACTTACAAGCAGTTGTAAAGGAGGGAGTCGACGATTTTGACGGTGAAGCACGTGGCTCCGTTTAGGCAATACCACTCTGCGTAGTCCGGCGGACACGTGTACATGTGGAATGTGATATTCGGTCTCGGTGTTGTCGTCGGTGGTCGCGGCTTCGGCGTCGATCGTGACGAACATGCGTCTGCGAATGAACCAGAGTTAATTACACTTCATTCATATATGTATAGACTCGCATTCAGACCATTCAGTAAAGACAATGGCAGAGACAACGACGGGGACATTCTACTATGCTAATTGGGATATGAAATACAGGATGTGAATGCGAAGGTTTTTCTTTCTAGTTCCCTGCATTGAGTAGAGTTAAAATTATTAAAAGCTACATATGAATGGAGACCAAAAAAAAAAGTTGAAAGGACGTCAGCCATTTTGCATCGTTTATGCGTATATATATGTATATATACATCGTTCACCGCTGACGAGGGTTATCATTAAGAAATGTCAAATTACGGTTACCATTCGAGGTTTTTAAAAGGCTGTATGACATTGTAAGATTTGGAAATACGTACAGGGTAACAAGGCTGGGTCCAAGCCAATTGAGTCTTTTAATTTGAAATGGGCAAAATGCGGCTATTCGATTAGGACTGTGGAAGAGTATCGGAGAATCATGGGAAGGGTCCATTGCGAAGGGCTGAGCGGGAGAGTGGGACTCGTCAAATGGGTGCTTTACAAACGTCGAATGCCTCTACTTTAGCCAAACACAATAGCGTCGGTATTCTAGAATGAAAGGGAGTGCCACTACGGCACGCTGTGAGCTCGTACGTTGTGTTCTGCCTCTATGGATGGACGAACCGGCTAAAACGGATGAGGATGGATGGATGGACGGTACGAGTCGACATTCTTCCCTTTCCTGGTTTCAATCTTCCTATCTTCCTTCCTTCTTTTCCTCCTGCGTTCATTCGCTCAGTTCATTCACCAATTCATTCAGCCACCCGTCCGTTCATTCATCCACTCGCTCACTCCCTCTCACTCTCCCACTCACTAACTCGTTCGTTCATCTCGTGGACGGTGTAGACGAGAGGGTAGTCTGTCTCACCCTCACCATCATCCACATAGGGTATATAAAAGGTTGCAGGGAGAGGATCGGTAGACGGAGGACGTGGCTGACGTAGAACCAGCTAAAAAGGAGGGGCAGGATGGTTTGGAGCGATTGGGAGACGAGGGTGGGCCAAGCGTCGGGACGTCGGGAGTTTCCTTGCAAAGGGCCGGTGTGGTAGACGAGGGAGCGCCATGGGGAGGTGGAGGCAGGACGAGCGATCCTTTTAGACGCGATGCACAGAAATGCTGCAGTCTGCATCTGCTTGCTGCTCGAGTCCGCTATCTGTCACCTGTTTAAATTTCATAATCTGCCGCGTGTGCCTACCTGGCAAAAAGACCCCATCGACAAAAAAAGACCCAACAATCCACGAACTCAAGATGCATTAAAGCACGCGATAGGCAGATCGCTCAGGAAACTAGCAGACGCGTTATTGTGGCAGCAGTGAACGGTAAGGAATTAATTAAGGGTTCTACGGATCTGTTAATCAATCCCCTTTCGCAGGCGAGGTGCGCTTAATTCAAGTCTTAGACGTCACAAAATTTGGCTTGTGCGTGACTTTGGGGCCTGACAGTAGTTTAGCATTTTTTGACTTTGCACATTATCTCTTCTAGTGATCTTTCGTTTTTCCCCTAAGTTACGATATTTCGTTTCCTTATGCCATTGTCAAGAACTTAAAATATACCTTCATGTACTAAAGCAGAGTATCATATAAACAATTGGTGTTTTCTTTTTGAAAAAGATGAGAAGAGTTTGTCGCAAAGCGTAAATAATAATTTTTCAAGCGTCTCATTTCTTTCCTTCTCAATATTTAATAATCTGAATGCACGAAATTTCGATTGAAGACTGCAAGTAGAATTTCAATTTTAGATGAGCATCGAACGCAGTACGGTGACTTCTCAAATTACTATGAATCATTAATATTTTTCTTTTATAATTAGCGATGACTATATTCCAGAATTAATGAGTGCATACTGATTTGCTTAATTACAATACTACCAAGACCTTAGTTGTCCGCTGTAAAAAGTCTTCAATCCCGATATGAGACGCAAAGAAAAAATATATCAGGCAGACTGTGGGGAAATTCAATATGGCGACGTCAGACCCCAATTCCCTTAATGACTCCCATCCACGTTTATATTGACAGTAACATTGGTCTCTCTAGAGCAAGTAGTTGCTACTCAGAGTCTAACTGACCTGCTATTCCGAACAGGGTGTACGTGAGGATGAGCAAAGTGGCGATATACGGAGGAATCCTGCATCCTTTCGCCATGGCAGTCGTCGCGATGGCTGTGCCCGTGATCGTGGCTGTATTGTCAATCTTGTTGGTAGCAATTCTTGTTGTGGTGGTGGTAGTAGTGGTGGTGGTGGTAGTAGTCGTAGTAGTGGTAGTATCGAGAATGGACGTTCGTACAATGGAATTAGTGGGTGTACGGGAGAGTTCGTGCTGTCTGTGGGACTGTTGCTCCTCTCGCTCCTGTTCCGTTTCTTCCTCTTTCTCTTGAGGATGGTGGAGATGATGATGGTGGTGATGACGGTGGGGACGATGATGATGATAACGGTGGCGATGACGATGATGGTGAAGGTGGTAATGGTGATGATGGTAATGATGGTGGTGAAAGTGATGGTGGTGGTGATGATGGCAGCACAATGCCACATCATCCCCCGTCGAGAGGCTACAACTCCTCGTGCTGCTGTTGCTGTCGGTGCTGCTGCTGTATCCGCTATTGCTGTTGTCGCTGCCAACGCAGCAGGCCTCTTCCTCCTCTGCCACTGAGCAAACTCCTCCGACTCCGCTGACTGCCTCTCCACAACCTCTTGCCGGTCCTTCTTCTCCTCTTTCTGCTCCTACTTCAGCTCTGCCACCGCCTCCACCTGGCCCAGAAGTCCGACGCACGTGCCGCCGCCTCCCTGTAACCAAATATCCGAACGCTCGTGTTTTCAGTATGCTCTATCTCGTGCAGTGTGTCGTCGATCTACCCCCCCCCCCCTTACATCCCCGTCGCCATGCTCCTCGCATTTCGATTCTCTTTAAAGGGACCTCCCGAAACCCAAACGCACGCTTCTCGATCCTAAAGCGAAATCGAGAAGCGAACGTGCTCGCTTATGTGTACTCAGACCTACATAGTCTGCTACGGAACGAGCCATCACCACCAGGTGGCAGTTCCCTTCTTGCGTTCCTCACTTCTATAAATGCAAAAACGAGTCGCCTCGTGAGCAAACAATTTTTAACTCCGGACCGTCACCTGCCCGGAGGCAGGTACAAAAGCGGAGTTATGTGTTTCGGTTGTAAAACTTTTCATGCTGCGGAGATTAGAGTGAAACCGTATTCGAAAAAAAATACTTTCACCTCTGCGAGTAATATTGGCGAAGGTCAATGTGAGTTTACCACGGAGTTATTTTAATTTTTTGCGATAATATAGACATCTTTAATCGCGTATTATACAACATGGAGTGAAGTTAACGCGATTGACTAAGTACACACTGTCACATTGAACTCTAGATTCTTTCATTAGTAACGAATCTATTAAAACATTTTAAAATTAATTAATTTTATACAGTTCACAGCGAGTCTCGTTAATAACAATGTCATTGGTAGATTTCTGTTCTATTATCACAGCAGCATATATAATTTGAGCTCGTTTCCAACGGTCCATTAACGTATGCGTATATATATTCTTATTAGTTTCATTATTAATAATGATTATAATTGAACAATGAGCAATGCGTAACAAACTAAAAAAATCAGGTGACTGTGCATATGCTTCACTCTATACATTATTTTATTAAAATTTAGATTACATGTATTTTACGTGAAAAATCATAAGAATTTTTAATTGATCCAATACTCTCACAATTCGAATAGTAATTTGCGAATTAATATATGGGGTCCGTGAGTTTGTCACCGAAATGCATCTAAGTATAAATTCCATGCTTTTATAATAAATTTATCTTACATGCAGATTCTCGAAATAGGTATCAATTAAATAAAGTAAAGTAAAGGTATCAGCCATTCATTTTGATATATAATACATGTGTATATATATATACATATACTAATTATAAATAAGATGCGCGAATCATAAAAAAATTCTATAAAAAACGAAAATCTAAAATTTTTGGCTTTCATTATTAGCAGTAATAACAACCAATATTTATGTCAAATTTGTAGTATCTTCTTCTTCTTCGTGAACGTCCAGACAGTCTCGACCTAATTTCTCAATTGGTATAAGATCCGGAAGTCGTATCAATGAACAAACTGTAAACACGTACAAAAGGTAAACGGAGGTGGGGAGAACACATCAGCGAAGAGAAACAGTTAATTTTAAAATAGTTTTGAGCGATGACAGATCGCTAGTTTGATTAACATTCATCGAAGGTGGCTTCCTCAAGATTTCGTGGGAGACGAAGCAGAAGCTCCGTAGGAAGTAACGGGGCGTTGCAAAGGTGACGCTTACTTCCCTGCTTCGCACGAATGACGCATCCATATGACTTACGTAGGTACGTCAAAATCCATCTTATCCGCTCGCATGCCAATAGCCAACCAGTTAATGCACCGAATGAATGGATACGTGACGTAGACGCTTCAAAAATCTATTTAACTACAGAAAACTTTCATGGAATCATTATCAATCCAGTCACCAGGTTGAAAACTGTAGGTATAATGATAAATGAATTTATTGGAATTAATTCTCGGCAATACTTGATCGTCATACAAAGTGCGTTTAGTGATTCCCACCGGCTCTAGGACACACATTGATTAGACTATTTTATCGACGGGCTTATCAGTATATCTACTTGTTCACTGATAAGCAGTCGCGACACTCCGTACCAGGAACGTCGTGTCCGAATCAACGCTTAACGAACTCTGATAGCTATAAGGTACACTGGCACATATAAATGAACTTGCCCATATTGAGTTTGGTTGGTATGCGAACGTAGGGGTTCCTCGCGTATGCACTGTTTTAGTACTGACGACGTGCCTTCTTCGTGGTTATGAAGCGTGAGACAAAATTCATCCGTAAGTAGGTGACACACGCGGGCAAACCGACTCAGGCACACGAGCACACTCACTGACTGAAGTACGGCACTCGGCCCACGTGCACTCTTCTTAATAATTGGTTATTTCCCTCCTCTTAGCCGAGGCCTAACCGCTTCTGGGCAAAATGTTCTTAACTCGAATCGCGAAACGCCTTGAATTTAAGTTTCTTTGTAATTGCGCGCTTTAGCTTGACATCCGTTACTCGAAAATTGGAACAGTAGCACGAAAAGTACTTGTTTGTGTTACGATTAAACAAAAATTTTGTGTATTCCCGGATTAGTGAGTGACGCAACAGAAGCGTCCCCAGACTCTCTTCTAAACAAGGTCGATTAAAGGTGGCGCGAATGGCGGTAAATTAAAAAATGTCCATTTACACGTATACAGAAACGCGGAAACACTTTCGTCGGTCGCGGCTTCTCAGTGGAATATGAGGCAGTGCTTTGCTCGTTTCTAATGCTGCTACTGCCGTTACTATTATCATTACTATTAAGGAGAGTTACGTCAACCGTGCGTAGGTTGTCGGTAGACATCGAGTAGGCGAACTCAATGAAACCTTTTGGAATTTCGGACGAGAATTCGTTTTAGCCTGATCTCAATAGAATCCAATCGATCGTAAGTTAGATACTGTATTGGAAAGTTATATGGGGACCAAATGGTACCATCGCGGGTCACCTCACGTGACGCCACGCAAAAGAAACGACGCCCCGAGGCGGCGACGTCGATCACTCGCAATTTTAATAGAGTACGAAGCACGTGTCTTCTAAAAAGGTCCGACCCCTCCATTGCGGTAGAAAATGATTTTCCGGGGAAGGGGGGCGAGCCACCCTTAACTCCCGGGGCAGCTGCGCGTCGTCTAAACACGGAAATTCATAAGCCCAAATATGTTACGCTGCGTTTAAAAAACGTGTCGGAGCGAGACAAACCACTAGTCCTCCCCCCACCGCCACCCTACTGCCATCTCTTCACCAAAAACTTCAGTATGAATAAGTATAAGAATCGTCTGGGCAGCAACAGCAGCAGGAGCACCTCCT